AGAAATGAACTGCTGTGAGAATACATAATAAATTTTAAGAAGTGAATTTTGATAATATCTAAAATTATCTAGAGAAATAATAAAAACCATTCCTGTGCCTATTTATTCTGGCATGTCCTACTTCAGGATGACTTTCACTCTTAAGAAGGTGGGCACAAGATTAAAGCTTAAAGTTGTGATCTCATGCACGTTACTTAGGAGTAAGTTCCATTGAGCTCAGGGCAATGTATATAGTTGTATGCCAGCCCAATCTCCAAGTAGAACAGACTCCAGGGGTTACAGGTGCTTAACCAGGGTTTGGTTTCCTGAAATGAGGGATAGTGGGGACTGTGGTGTCGTTATGATAGTTTATTTACACATATATACAATCTGAGCCTCAGTGGCGTAGCAAGGTCAGGTGGTACCTGGTGCATAATTTTTTTTTGTCTCCCCCCCCCCATTGAAATTGAAATCAGGCGATCGCAGTGCAGATCCTGCCTTCTCCCTCTCCCTCCCTCCACCTCCCCATCAAAGAAAGCTTCGCAGGTGATGCTATTGCTGGTCCTGATCCCGTCTTGCCTCGTCAGAGACATGCTCCTTGTCGCCTCCCTCCTCTCCTCTCCACCCCTAAACCATTGTGTGATCTCTCTCTCCCCTCAAACCAGCTGGGCTGCGGAGCTCTCCTATGCGCCGCTTCTCCTACCCCCCACCCCCAAACCAAACCAGCGCACCTTGGCCCTTAAATGAAAGGCAAAAGCATGCGACCGCAGCCTCTCCCGCCTCTGTGCCCTTCTCGGGAGTCCGTGTCAGCCCCAGAAGGACCCTGCCTTGCCCTGTGAGCAGCACAGCTTTGACCCTGGCCACACACACAGCACCTGAGCGAGAGCGGCACATGGACAGGCAGGGAGAGTAGGGCCTGGCCGACCATGCATGCGCCCAGCCACAGAGGTGGGAAGGGGATGTGTCGGCATCACGATGCAACTCAACCCCGCTCAATTCCACTACATAGGCAGCTTCGAGTTCAGCTGGCATTTTGTCACCCCCATCATGATGTCACCCAGGGTGATCTGCACCCTTGCACCCCCCTTCCTATGCCCCTGCTGACTCTACGATGGAAGGCTCACAGCACTCCAAAAGAGTCTTGCTTCTCTCATAGCCACAGCCTTGGATACCCACAGAAATCAACCATTGCCCTCCAATGTTGCGCTCTCTCTCTCTCTCTCTCTCTCTATCTCTATCTCTATCTATCTCTATCTTACTGCTTTGCTTCTAGGTCACATCACTGCAATTCCACTCTAAACTCAGGCCTTTTGTCTTTCTAACTGACTGGGGAGAGAGGCCCACCACGGAAACAGGCCCACCTGTTTGTCCTTGTCCTGTTTGCAGAACTACTCCCTTTGTTCCCTTAGCGACTCAGAGGGGGATTACCAGGCTGGCCTGGCACTTGCAGCAATTGAATCTGTGCTGAATCCAGGAATTAGAAGTGGGGTTCCGGCATACAACCTAACCCGCCCCCCAACTCATAACATAAGAATCAGTCCCTCTCCATAGGGCCACATGCATCCCATCTTTCAGGAGTTTTTTTCATGTTTGAAAACAGGAATTGAACCAAGTGTGGGGGATCTGTGGCCCTCCAGAGGTTGCTGGACTGCAACTCCCATCACCCATGATCATTGGGAATTGGAGTCCTGAAAACATTGGTGCAGGGGCACAGGTTCAAATCCCTGTGCCAAGCCAACATTTGATCGCATCATGACTGAAGACATGAAAACTCTCTTTAAAATGCAGACATCCACATTGAAAAGGAAATCAGTGTTGATTCAGAACAGGTATCTGCCCTCATTTGAAGTGGAAAGTTGCTGAGAAGCCAGACTCACTTCTGCAGTGGAAAAAAGAGCCACACTCAGCACTGTTTGTAGGCACAAACTTACCTAAGTAAGCCATGAAATAAGATGCGTAGAACACTTGTCGCGTACCAAGCTGTGTATCCTTTGTGCAGAAATGCCAAACTAATTTGTATGTATAAAACTGTTTGCAATTGTGCAGCTTGTTAAAATAAGTTGTGTGTTTGTGATGAAGGTTAGAAGCAGGGGACAGGAAAAGCTGCTTGCACCTGGGAACCTATTTGGAGCATGCTGAGTTTCATGTGCCTGTTTTCTCTCAGCTTATCTGTTAATTTGCTTTGGTTTGTGGTAGCCAAGAGCTGACACATGGTGAGATTTGGGAAACCGCAGTAACCACACTAGCAAAGTCAATGTTCTTTTTCAAACTGAGACAGAAGAACAAAGACTTCAATGTGTAGGTTTTATTTGCATGTGTAACAGACTTCCAGGCAAGGTGCTTTAGAAAATACCTTATATGTGTTTTCAGCACTTGGAAAACATCTCTCTTTTTCTGCAGATTTTAATAACTACAGCAAAACGTATCACACTCAGCAGGTAAGTCCAGCTAACTGCAATAGGCACGATTGAAACTAAAGTTCTTCAGATATTTTCTTGTTGCTGAATATAATGCACTGATATACCATATTTTTTGCTCTATAAGACTCACTTTTTCCATCCTAAAAAGTAAGGGGAAATGTGTGTGCGTCTTATGGAGTGAATGCAGGCTGCGCAGCTATCACAGAAGCCAGAACAGCAAGAGGGATTGCTGCTTTCACTGCGCAGCGATCCCTCTTGCTGTTCTGGCTTCTGAGATTCAGAATATGTTTTTTCTTCTTTTCCTCCTCCAAAAACTAGGTGCGTCTTGTGGTCTGGTGCATCTTATAGAGCGAAAAATACGGTACATATGCAGTGCTTTTTTCTAAAAAAAATGTTTAGGGGTACTCTCATTTTGACTCAAGAAAATCACCATTTTATAGTTCAAATCGGGGAAAATTAATACAGTAAATGGACAAAGGTACAAGGAGTCATAAAATGTTTAGGGGTATGCGTCCCCCTGCATCCCCCCAGAAAAAAGCACTGTATATACAGTATGTCTGCTTAATGGGTACCACGACAGTAATTCAGATGAAGAAATAATCAGATTTAATAATATGATTTGCTAGCAATTGCTTGTTCCACAAACTCTTAATTAAAACCTCTTTTAGACTGTAAATCTAAACTTGCTTACAAGGGCAGTAATTCTTCTGAACACAGGGAGGTTTACTTTCAGGTAAATCTGTATAGGATTGTGCTGTAAATGCATCAAAGGAGGGAACTAACCTGAGAGGCAATGCAGTTGTTAGAGGATAAACATGCAAATGAAATACTCAAACAAAGAAGCAGAGAAGCAAAATTAAGTATTTTAATTTGCCTTCACTGCAGAAGATATCATCCTTCCTTACTAGATTTATTTGGACCAAGCGAAGTCCACAGGAACTGTGGTGTAATGGCTAGTCTATACGTCTTGGGAAGCCAGACTTAAATCCTCACTTGGCTATGAAAATCACTGGATGAACCTTCAGCCCTGTGACCCTTTTTATCCTCACATATACCATCTTGAGCTCTCTGATGGGAAGGCAGAATATAAAAGTAATGAACTAATTCTTTACCATATTTTTTATAAAAGATTTTGTTTTACAGGAAGCTATTCATAAATGGAATAAAATAAATAAGACCAACAGTCCAGGCACTTTAACTTTGGTCCCAGGTAAATGGGTTGAAACGTCTTTTAAGGTTGAAATGTGCTGTGTTTAGGACTTTGTGTTGTTTGCACAGGAAGCCACAACACACACATGCAACCATTCAGACATTACTGGATACACTTATTTTGTTCAACAAGGAGATTCGTTTTCATCGGCACCACTCAGCCAATACTTTTCACTTTTCACAGTAAGCTTTCTTGTGTTGCAGCCTTTGGTTTATGCTGAGTTTTTCATTCAGTTCCATGTACTTTTTACACTTTATTTTTTTTTCATGTGCAGTGACTTAAAAAAAACAGCAAGTCATTAAAAAGCCCAAATCTGCATCTTCACTTATTCTATGCCATTTTTGCCCTGGTCCAGCTCTTGACACAGGACACTAGTTGTGCATAACAGCTGATTGCCATGCATGGGGATGCGTGTTCCACAGCTGTATGGGAAGATGCATGCAGTCAGTTCCATGGGACCTGGATGAATTTTGCAGTGTCATAGACTCGTAGAAGCAGAATTGTAGAGCTGGAAGGGATCCCAGGGGTCATCTAGTCCAACCCCCTGCAATACAGGAAAATGGCCCACGGATGTCACTGGGTGGCAGGGACGCGGACTTATAAAAAATATTGGGGGGGCCCGGGAAAGCTCATGAATAATAAATAAGCTCATGAATATGCAAATAAAGTGGCTCCGGCCCTAAATAGGGCAAGCCACGCCCCCCCAGCCAGCCGATTGGCTGGCTGGGAGGTGTGGCCAGTCGGGATTCCCCTGTTCTCGCGGGGGCTGAAACCGCCAGGAGGAAGGAAATTCCCCCCGGCAGTGCCTTGGCAGTGGCGGTGGTGCTGCGAAGCAGCGAGGCAGGAGCCCCCGCCCCCGGCGCCCGAGATTATTGGGGGGCTGAGCCCCCCCAAAATTTTTTTTGAGGGGGCTCGAGCCCCCTCAAGCCCCATGGAGTCGGCGCCTATGCTGGGTGGACTCGAACCCCCAACCTTCTGGTTAGCCAGATGCACTAACCCACTGCACTACTTGAAGGATGCAATGGGGCTACATTCTCCAGCCCCTAAGCTGTGGAACTCCCTCCCCACAGAGGTGCATTTGGCACCTTCATTATACAGCTTCCGGTGAATGCTGAAGGCACCCCTTTACCTTGGCTTTTGATACGACCTGCTGTAATAATAATAATAATAATAATAATAATAATAATAATAATAATTTATTTGTACCCCACCCATCTGGCTGGGTTTCCCCAACCACTCTGGGCGGCTTCCAACAAAGATTAAAAATACATTAAAATGTCACACATTAAAAACTTCCCTAAACAGGGCTCTAGGACCTTATTCGAGGATTGTGTTTTTAATGTTGTACTTTAATGTTGTGACTTTCCTTGGAACCTTAGGGTGAAGGGTGGGAAATAGATAAGAAGAAGAAGAAGAGGAGGAGGAGGAGGAGGAGGAGGAAGAAGTGAAAGCTGCTTCTGTATGTAGATCACCTTGGCTGCACTGGAGGAAAAAGGTTGGTTTAGAAACGTGTGCCCCACCCATCTACTTTCCCTTTGCTCAGATTTGCTCTCAACAACTAAAATGCAACTATCTCATAATACAGCAGCAGAAAACAAACCAATGTAAAAAATAAAATCATTATTTATTTATTTATTTAAAAACACCCCATTATTCATAAAGAGATTTGTGCTAAGCTGTTCATGTTCATTAAACAGTAAGAAGTCCGGATTGAATTCAACCAAATCATATTGAACCAAATCATATTCAGACTCATTGAAATCAACAGACATGTTCATCACAGCCATTGATTTCAACAGCTCTGAGTCTGACCTACTTGGATTCAGTCCTCCATGATATTCCACATATTGAAATTCTGGGAGAACTAACATACATAGAGTCCTATGAAATCAAAGACAGCGCAATAGCTAATAAGTGCACTTCAAAAAGTTCAAGGAGACACTGATCTAGACTTCGACCAGTTTCTCCATAGGGCTTATTAGACACATACTTTTCCTGTTTCATTTTCCTAATCCACTTCCTTTCTTTGCAGAGACTTTCTGTAAATCCAACTGAACTGTCACTGCTATTGCTACAAGTCTTCTCTGGTCAAAAGAAAGACAGAGCACCATAATGAGCGGGGTATGTCTTTTTCTGCTGAACTCCATTCTCTTCACCACAGAGGGTAAAAGAGGAAGCAATACTATGTTATGTGTACTGAAACCGATGAGGGAGATCAAGCAGAGCTGTCTTGAACTTCAAAGCCAATTCTGTTTCTTCCTCTGTGGCTGCAACCTGTGCATACTTGGCGTGAGACTTGGGGGAATTTTAGATTGTGCACATTCATCCTGATTTGTTTGCAGGAAGATAAGAGAACATTGGCTAGAGGTTGGTGTGTCAAAACCAGTGGCATCTGACACTTTCCATTGCATTTCCCCTCACTTTCCTTAATGCAAAAAGACTGATCTGTGCAACCTGAATTTGCCTGTGTAAGCGACTGAATCTCACTTGAAAACAGTGACAGTTTGGAAGCCCCCTTAGGCTGCAACCCTAATCCCACTTACCTAGGAGCAAGTCCCATTGAGTTAGGATTGCAATGTAATTCTCATTGAACTTGATAAACATGTATGGAACTGCACTGTGACAATGGAAATGACAGCTTTGCTCGCTTCAGTTCATTGCTCAACTTTTTTCTGGCTCCTTCTGAAATATATATACAGTGGTACCTCGGGTTAAGTACTTAATTCGTTCTGGAGGTCCGTTCTTAACCTGAAACTGTTCTTAACCTGAAGCACCACTTTAGCTAATGGGGCCTCCCGCTGCCACCGTGCCGCTGGAGCACGATTTCTGTTCTTATCCTGAAGCAAAGTTCTTAACCTGAAGCACTATTTCTGGGTTAGTGGAGTGTGTAACCTGAAGCGTATGTAACCCGAAGCGTATGTAACCCGAGGTACCACCGTATTTACCACACCTGCAAATTTGCCACATGCACTGGAGACAAATGCTGGGTTTCTTGCTCCTTATCCTGTCCCTAACCAGCTCTCTGAAGCAAGTCTGCCAACTGCATATAACTCAAATTAGGTTGAAATGCCCGTCCTATCTTCCATACAGGACTTCAGTGAAAAATATTTCACAGAGATGTCCATAATTCCTAAGTGTATTAGGTTGTAACAAACACTGCACAAACAGAATGCACAAGCTCACATAATGGATCTTTCTCTCCCCACCCTCCTTCTCTGTACCCCCAGAAAAGCCCCTCTGGAGTTGCAGTGACTTACCAAACACAGTGGACTGTGCAATCTGGGGCTGCAATGGAAGAGGTGAACTGCCTCAAATTGGCTGGAGGTATCTTGTGCTCAAGTGGAGCAAGATTCCTCGCCACAACCAGAGGAATTCCCCAGTATTTGGTCCACAGTATTCTCCTCTGGGGAAGGGGATACCAGGGACTGCAGGGGAGAGAAGGAGAAAGAAAAAATGCATTGTGTGATCTGCCTTCCACTCATTCATCATATGGGGGTGCAACCTATTATATGAAATTCTGTTTATTCCAATACTGTATTATAGACTGCCCAGAAATGTGTTCACTGTTAGGGTTGCCATATGAGCCATGAGCTTTTTTAGGGCAATCACGCAATAGCCCCCCCACTGCCGCTGACCCCAAGATCCTGTGCCAGAGCCTGAACCAGAGCAACCCGTGCACAATTTCTTTTTTAAACCCCAAATCCAGGACAAATGGAAAATTCCCCCTGGATGGGCATGTAGGACCCCCCAAAGAGGCCATGTCCAGGAGCTCCTGGATGTATGGCACCCCTAAGTGTGCTAATCTAACTGCTGATTCATTTATGAATTTGTGTGAGTTTATGAAACGTATTTCTCCCTCCTTCCTCTACATGCACACATCCTATAATGTGTGAATATAAAGCTACATGAATAGGATATGTGGGGAGATGCACTTTAACTGTGTCTTGGTGGTTTTTTTAGAGTGGGGGAAGACTGGGCTGTAAGACTGTTACTGTGTGGGAAAGTTTTGAGACCAAACTGTGTGATCACATTTAACCATGTTTTTGGTAACTTATTTTGCTGTGGCTATGTGGGATATCATGATTTTATGAGATTTGCTGAAGCCAATCAGAAGTTAAGCAGTGTTATAACAGAATTGACAACATTCCGAACGACAAGCTTGCCAGCCCAGGTTCTCTGCTAGAATAGATGAAGTGAGGGAGTGTGTTGAGCCTCATACAGGAAGTTTTTTGGGGTCATAGTTTGAGACAGACATCTGTGCCATTCTATGTACCTTGCTCTCTCCAGAACAAAGAAATTCTGTCCCTGCCCTAATTTTGGTGATTCTCCATTCCCACTACAGCACATCCTCCCCCCTGCTATATTCCAGGCCTTTCCTATGGAGCATGGATTTTCCCCTGCCTCAGAATGTACATTTAAGAACCAAACAAATGAAGACCAAATGTTTTTACCAAACATTTTCCTTACCTAAACCAGAGCTTGCCGAAATGTGAGTTTAACCGAATCCATTGTGCTTTCAGGAAGAATCAACCATCGCAGATTATTCTGATTTGTATGCTGAGATTGCAATGCCATGTGACAAGGATGAAGTCAGAAACTTCACGAAAGCCTTTCTTCCCACTGCTTACTCCCTGATCTGTGTCCTGGGGTTCGTGGGAAATATGTTTGTAGTGATGACATTTGTTTTATATAAGAGGTCTGATTCTATAACTGATGTCTGCCTCTGCAATATGGCTATTGTGGACATATTATTTGTTCTCACTCTTCCTTTCTGGGCAGTGAACTACGCTCTGGACAACTGGATTTTTGGGGATTTCCTCTGCAAGCTCACTAAAGGTATCTATGCCATTAACTTCAACTGTGGCATGTTGCTCTTGGCCTGCATAAGCATAGACAGGTATGTTGCCATTGTGCAGGCCATAAAGTCATTTAAGCTTCGGGCAAGGTGCCTAGCCCACAGTAAAGTGATCTGTTTGGCTGTCTGGGTCTCCTCTATGTTAATCTCAAGTGCTACTTTCATGTTCAGTGAAAGCTACGCACTTCCAGGCAATGCAACCACATACATTTGTGATCACAAATCCAGTGCAAATTCCAATGTACAACTGAAATTGCTCATATTAAGTTTCCAGCTTTTATTTGGATTTTTTGTCCCTCTGTTGTTCATGGTTTTTTGCTACACCTTCATTGTCAGAACCTTAGTGCAGGCTCAGAATTCCAAAAGGAGCAAAGCTATACGAGTGATTATCTCTATCGTAGTTGTTTTTCTGCTGTGCCAAGTTCCCTACAATATGGTTCTCCTGGTGACGGCAGAATCTATGGGGAAACTGGACAAAGCCTGCCAGAGTGAAAAGCAATTGGCTTACGCAAAATACGTAACGGAAACTCTGGCTTTCCTGCACTGTGGTATGAACCCTGTGCTCTATGCATTCATTGGTGTGAAGTTCAGGAACTACTTTGTGAAAATAATTACAAGCCTGTGCTGTGTGAGACATATGAACTGTGGAACTACCCTTGGTTCAAAGATAAGTTCCGATGCTGTCCACTCCAGACAGACAAGTGAAGTTTGTGAATGACATAATAGATTATTGTGTATACAACATGGTTATCCTCAGGTAGAATCATTATTCAGGCCTCACACAGATATGCTGGCTTCTTTATACCGTTCAAATCAGTTCACTTAATACATCATGCCCGTATAAGCTTCTGCCACAGAAAACTGGTCAGTTTCAAAGGTAGCTAATAGCTCTTTACACATTTCAAATAAAGCCAGTCTCTCTGTTCCCATAGCGGGACCAGATTTCCGGGTGTTTGCATGCATACCTCTTCTCTTCAGACATACCAGAAAAACACAAGATTGCCATCTTCTGGAAATGCAGGGACTCTTTCTTCCTTTAATGGGTGCCGCTGGCTCCTGTGTTTGTTTTGTTATAGTTCCACTTCAGCTATTGATATTATAAGAATTATCGAAAGTGTACTGTTATGGTTTGCCCCACTGCTTTCTTGAATTGGCTAAGTTGTTAGCAATGGCACCTGTTGACCACTGGGAATAGGCTTTTCTTTTGCTGATTGAAATAGACGTGGTTCCCCTCTCTGGCCCGTAAAAGGGTTTTAGAATTATCATTTTTATTAATTTTATCATATGTAGTCAAAAATGCAAAAACTAAGGGTAATGAGGGGCCAATAGATAAAGGACCCATTTGAGAAGATATAGGAAGTTTTTTTTATTGATTAGTCAAGTGTAAAGGACAATGACTGATATACCAGACTATAGACATTGGGAGTTATTTTCTCTCTTTGTCTTGAAACCCTGTAAAGAAAAACGCTGTAAATGAACTTTAAAGGAGAAAATGTTTAAGATTATCAGTATATATAGTCACTGAGGTGCCTTAGACCTGTTAATACTGTTCCTTTGCACCTGTTTTGTTACGCTTGATTTTCAATTTGTATTTTCAAAAAAGTTGAATAAAGAAATAAATGCTAAAAATAAGGTGAAGGTACATCGTTTTTAAAGTTATATCTGATGAATTGATACCTTCACATCAGGGCCATCTTAAGCATATCCGATGCTGTGGTGCAAAGATCCCTCTGGCGCACACACACCCCGCAACTCCAAAAGAAGGGAGGGTGCGGTGGAAAATGTCTTCTGCCTCCCCCACCGCCCTGATCCCAGGCGTGGTGGCGGCGATCAAGCAGGAAAACGTGCTGACAGGCATGGTCTCCAGCGTTGGGGCACCTGGGAAGGCTGCGCACTGCCTTTTGCCAGGAAGCAGGAGGACAACAAGGACCCCATCTTTAGCAGATGGAGAGGCTTGGGAAGGAAGCTGCACACCCACAGTCACTTACAGACTCACTGTTAAGACTGTGTTCATGGAAGACAATCTTACTCAGCTGCGATTGATCACCAAAGAAGAAGGAGTTCTAGCTTTCCTGCTGGGACGCAGTATGCCTCTGAATATCAGTTACTGGGAATCACAAGGGGGGGAGAATGCTGTTTCATTCAGGTAAGGCTAGCCTATTTCCCATAGGCATCTGATTGGCCACTGTGGGAACAGAATCCTGGACCCAACAGGCTTGCAGCCTGATACAGTAGGGCTCTTTGTTGTTAAATGCAGATTATATCTTTAAGGGAGTGTGGCGTTTGCCCATTCATTTAGAAAATCTTTGAATAGGTGGGAAAGATAGGGTTAAAAATATAGACCAATAGGAAAGCCGGAGGCGGAGCCTCCCTGTGTATAAAAGGGCTTAGCCCGAGGCTTGAGTTAGTTGTTGTTGTTGGGAGTTGGTGGGTAGTTGGTTGGTTTTAGTGGGTTGGCTGGTTGGGAAAGGCAGTTGGAGAATCTGTTGGTAGGCAGTTGGTAAGAGAGAGACAGTTAGGGCAGTTGGTTCTTGAGTGAGGGGAGGTAGAAGAGATAGAGAGAGGAAAATAAGACTAAGAAAGTAAAGAGTAACAACGTTTGGAATGCCGTAAAAGTTTGTGACTGAAATAAAACACACTCTTCTCTATTAATTGAGAACCTGACTGAGGCTGAAGTGATTTTACCAGGGAGGACCTAGTTGGTGGCAGCGGATTAGTGGTGTACAGGTCAAAAGTCCGTGATACGACTGGGGGCTCCGTACGAACGCCACAGGGAGGAATAAACAACTACCTCTTACATTATCCTTAATCATTAGCCATTACTGGGTGGGGCTGATGGTAGTTGAAGTCCAGGTAATCCATTTATTTAGCATTCATCATAATTTGCCTGCACAAAACTTACATGGTTGTTAGAATATGTCCTTATATAGGGCGTTCATTCCGATTTGTTTACAGGACAGTTGGACAGCAACAAACTTTCATCCTCATTTGCTTGTGGGGTGTTTACATGCTGCCCCATTAATCATTCAGCAGCAGCATCCCAAAACAATGAGCTAGGTTGCAGGAACTACAAGTAAGTAATGGTGCCCTCCAGGCTAATGGGTGGACACAGAGACATGCTTGCTCTCTGCTTGATCCAAAGCTGCAACTAATAGAGAAGCAAGATCTTCTGGGGTGTTCATGCTGCAGGGTTATGCTCAGGTTGTATATATGCAGAAATAAAGACATAGTATCAAGCCAATCCATCTAAAGAAAAACAATTGAGGAGCTTTATTTTATTTTTAAAAAGCAATTGTCAAAAACTTTTCAACCACACTAGAAATCTAGTCAATTACTAATTGTTTCTACATCTAAGTTACAAAAATAATATACAGCTAAGAGAAGTGCTTTTTAGTAAATAATGTTTTGTGAATACTACTCAGACATCAAGCAAGGGTACTATGTAATGTACCCTTGACGGGCCAGACAGACAGATTTGTAACTGATCCAGTATTATTAACATTGCTGCTGCACTCTGATCATTTCTGTTGTGGTGCTTGTTCACCATCATCATCATCATCACCACTGGCAAATGCCATACCCTCTTCTTTTCCATGGGAAGTCGAAGGCATTTGCTGTGCCTGTATTACATGTGTTGAAGTTTCACTTCTAAAGGGGGTTTTCGTTGGTTTCAAATTGGCTGGGCTCTTCATCACCTTCAGAGTTCTCTAGGAAAGCCATTCCTCTTATTAGGGGAGGGTATCCTGTCGGATGTGTAGATCCTGAACTCTTGGCATCAGCTCTGCTCTCAGGATGCTCTCCTTTATTCTGAGGTTGGTCATCTGCAAAAGACACTCTGCGCTCTGTTGGTCTGACAGATCCCAAAGTTTCTGCATCCGATATGGATAGCACTTGCCTTGGCCTCAAGTCAGTTAAGCTCCCACTATGTGCACCTTCAGCATCATCATAGTCATCTGCAAAAGCCACTCTGCGCTCTGTTGGTCTGAAAGATCCCAAAGTTTCTGCATCCGATATGGATAGCACTTGCCTTGGCCTCAAGTCAGCTAAGCTCCCACTATGTGCACCTTCAGCATCATCATAGTCATCTGCAAAAGCCACTCTGCGCTCTGCTTGTTTGAATGATGCCAAAGTTTCTGCATCTGATACTGGTATCTCCTGCACTGGCCTCGTATCAGCTCTGCCCTCAAGATGCTCTCCTTTGTCTTCAGGTTGGTCATCTGCAAAAGCCACTCTGCGCTCGGCTGGTTTTGTAGATTCTGGAGTTTCTGCATCTGATACGGTTAGCACCTGCACTGGCCTCAAGTTAGTTACACTATCAAAGTCCACATGTTCGTCATCATAATGGTCATCTGCAAAAGCCACTTTGCGCTCTCCTGACATTTCTGCATCTGATGTGGGCAGCACCCAAACCAGTTTCGGCTTCAACTCTTTTGTGGTATCAAGTTTCTCTTCTTCTTCTTCACCATCATATTCATTGACGAAAGCCACTACGTCTTCTCTTTTATGGGGAATGTGTTCTGACTGTTTTGTAGATTCAAAAGTTTCTGCATCTGACACGGTTAGTTCCTTTTTTGGCCTCAAATCAATTTCACTTACAAATTTCTCTTCCTCATCAGCCTCATATGTGTTTAGAAAAGCCAACATGTCTTCTTTTTTGTAGGAAATGTATTCTGGATGTTTTATCAATCCACTTTCACTTTTAAATGATGTTTCTGGTGTGCTTAGCTCTTGCATTGGCATCAAATCTGTTTTTCTTTCAACCTGTTCTTGTGAGTCAATCTCCAATGTCCCAGTGGAAGATTTTGGTTCTGCTTTTGTCAAAGGCCCTGTTGCATCTGACTTCATTATGCTTTTTAACGATTTCACACTGAATGATTTAATACTACTGGTAAATCTTTTTGAATGAAAAGATTGAGTTTCATCACCAGCATAAAGTGTTTTTGTGTAGGAGGAAGTTAGACTCTGAAAGAAAAGAAATACAGTAAAATTATTATAGGGACTTTTTTAAAAAAAATGTATTGATTTTCTTTTTTTCTAATGAGAAATTGTTATAGGGACTTGATAGGATGAAGAATCTGATGCAAACAATATATGATCTTAAGAACTGTCTCTGTCTTCATATACCCTGTCCCAAGGATCATCACTGTTCTTAGAAATTAAGAAAGCTTCATCAAATAATATTGAAATCTAAACATTTGCCTATTAAATAACAAAATCCACAGAATCTTAATGATGACTCAAAGCTCTTCCCACAAGAAATCGATAACCGAAACAATTTCAGGAGCATATTCTCTGGGTCAAAACTGAATCCCAACAAAATGAGTCACATTGGGTTGGTGGTTCTCTTTTTTTCTATAAGTAATTTTTATTAAAAGTTTTCAACATAATATACAATAAATGTCAAGCAAATCTAAAGAAGAGATATAAGAAAGAGATCAGAAATTCCCTGTCAGAGGCCCAGCTGACCATGACTATACTTCAGTGCCAAGTCAAAATCTGGCTTTTTTTACTCAGTAATCTGGGCCACAGTGAGGGTCACAGTCATAGTCATGCAATGTTTGGTGTGCTTGTGTTGTTTGTTGGTGTTGAATAATATTAATTTCTGTAGCATTTTAAATTAGTGCTAAAAAAAAATCAAACCTACACCAAGGGAAACTACACAGCAAGGATCACCCACACTTTTGACCTGTACAGATGGTACAAATTTCTGTGGCAAAGCCAGATTCTACTTGTTTAGAACAGAGTGTAGAATAATGGTATTTACCCCTAACGAAGGAGTGGGTGATTGCCAAGGAACTATGGTGTTTGTTATCACACATACAGAAGCATTAAGATAGTTTTTCGATGACTGTGTTGTTTCTCTTTGCAGCCATGGAATGAAAGCAAGGATGCTAGCTGCAGCAATATTACAAATTCCCGTTACTACAAAGCCAATGTTGTAGTTGCCGAACAAGTCATACATTGCACCTGCAATAAAAATATGCAGGTTAATTTTCCAAACTTAATTTCTCAAAGAATAACTTTATTTCAACTGTTCCTGTAAAACCTTGCATTATAATGTCAAACCAAAAGAGATTTTAAAAATTCTTCCTACTTTCCGGGGCCACATCCCAGACACAGGCATCATAGTAAAGAGACTGCTAAATAACTGTCAGGTGGGGGGTGGGGGGTAGGAACTAACTGCCTAATAAAATAACAGATTTGCATTGGTTGATTTACCTGCAAAGGGTGCACCAAAACAACTGCTTGCATTGACAACCATGAGAAATCCCCATGCAACTGGCATTTTCTCGGGCCCCATCAAATCAAATGTAAGGACAGGTAAGAGAACATAGTTTCCTGCATCAACAAATCCCAAAACAGAGCAAGCTGCTATTAGGGAGGGAAAGTTTGTACAGTGAGGAATGATAAAATATACCACACCTGGAAAACAAAACAAAAAACTACATTGTAGGATATTTTACTAGACAAACATGCTTACCGATTCATTAAAACACATGACAATACAGTAACGTTACAGCCTTAGAAGTCCACTATCCAGCCATTACGAAAGCTCAGTGCTCCTTACTCAACAAATTTCTGTTTCTTAAACAGCTTCCCATCTCTGAAGGTGCTATGTAGTAAATCACTGCTGATACACTGGAGGTTTTTTAGCAGAGGTTGGATGGTCTTCTGTCGTGGATTCTTTAGTTGGGATTCCAGCATTGCAAGAGGTTGGACTAGAATCTCTATCATTCTATGATTGCTTAAACTCAGGAGAATTTCATAAGCAGATGGGTAGGGAATCAAAAGTCTATTGGGTCAACACTAACCATTTTCTAAACTACACATTTGAATCTCAGATTACCTCAACAACTGCATTGTTTATTGCTAGGCTTTTTTCAGAACACTTCCAAAACAAATAAATCCTATTGAGTGCTTTTTACTCTTTACTGGGCCAGTGGTTTTTTGGGTAGGATACATAAACAATATCATTGGTTGATCCCTTAATGGGCATATTTCAAATGGTGGTGGAACCCATATGATTCTTTTAACTGCTCACAAATCTTCTTAAATAGTTGGGGGGGGGGGAGACTACATTTGCATACACAAAGTATGTATACTTCAGCATTAATCTTAAAAACAATTACTGGATAGTTGTTGCTGATAATTCTTTATTTATTGAACCATTAAATGGCAAGTATCCAATGAAAAATGATCAGACTAGTGCTTGTCCTGGGTATATAGAGGCCCTATAATTCTTATGATCGGCCTAGTGTATTGTTTGGGATGACTTTTCCATCTACCAAATTCCATAAAGGTAAAGGTAAAGGTACCCCTGCCCGTACCTCACCCCGCCACGGGGATTCGAACCTCCAACCATGCGATCAGCAAGTCCTAGGCACTGAGGTTTTACCCACAGCACCACCCGCGTCCCACCACCAAATTCCATAAATCCCGATAATTATGAAGAAATGGTATATCCATTCCACTGAGCCCACCCCTAACTAGCTGACCTCCACCCCCCATAAGACACTTGGCAGGGATAAGAGAATGGAGTGGGTCCATTTTTGATCACATTTTCAACTTTTACAAAAAGGCTTTGCACACCCTGACCAGAGAGAGAAAACACATCCAGCTATGGAGACAGAGGTAGAGTTCTGATTACACAGGCCTGGCTGGATCAAGTAGCAGAACTTCATTTATTTCAGTCAGTCCTAATCAGCAATTGTGCTCACCATGGGAGTAGTTTTTCTAATCCTGACTAGTCTCTTAAAAGTTTCGCACTATTCCAACAAAATCAAATGAATGCTTATGCGGAATACTTGCCAACGGACAATATGGACACTTGGTTAAGATACAGCCGATCGATTCGTTCAATATCACAGAGTTTTCCAAATAGAAGAGAGCTAACCATGCTGCTCACTCCAATGGCTACCATAATGTAGGATGCTTTCTCCAGTGGAATGCCCAGGTCACCAGCAAGTTTAATCTGCAAAATGAGGCCACTGAGTTTATATTCACCTCTCTATGCATTTGTCATAAATACAATGTATATTTAGGCAACTGAGTGCTGATTACAACTGAGCAATCCAGGTCATTCAGTGTTACAGCGGTTCCTTGTGTAAGTCGGAGTGTTTGAACGCACACTGCCGGGAGTCGGAAAACATACATTAATACAATTAATTGAGAATCTGCCAGGAAGCATCAAACCTCCTACTACTTCTTCTTTCTTCTTCTCCTTGCCCTCTCCCTCTTCAGTAGAGTCTGTGGACAGCTGCAAAGTATAGAACTGAGGCAATGACATCATTGATTTGCCATAATAAAGGGATGTGATAATTTGCATCTGACAGGTTCTTCATATAAAATAATTTGGTAGCCATCTTTAAGCCTTTCTGGAGAGTAAACAACGAAGGAAAGTGCAAATGGTCTCAAAAGGAACAGCTAAAGGTCCCTTTCTCAAGCTTATTTATCTATTGCATCTATATCCCTTTTTCTCAAGGAACCAAAGGTGGATTTCATGGCTCTCCTTTTCCTCATTTATTCCCCTACCTATGAGGTAGGTTAGGGTGAGAGGCAGTGACCGCTGCCCCAAGGTCACCCAGCGTGCTTCATGGCCAAGTGGGGATTTGTACCCTAGTGTGAGGGACTGGGCTGAGGAGGAGGAGTGGTGGAGACCGCCTCCCCCTCCTGGCCCTTCCAGGGAGGAGGAAGTGGAAGACAATATAGATTGACAACAGGGGTTTGTGGGAGGTTGCAGCTCAGAGGCAGATGAAGGGAAAAGCTGGGAAATCATGGGAGAGCCGGAGCAACACCTGTTCTCATTAGAAAGCATTCCAGACCTTCCATCTTCCAGAACCCATCAAGCCTTAAAAGTAGGAGAGGAAAGAGTTTGAAGACAGAGGGCATGTAGCAGCACCCACAGAAGAAACGATGAGAATGACGAATGAGGAAGCGGGAAAGGTGGTGTGTGTGTGTGTGTGTGTGTGTGAGTGTGAGAGAAGATTCACTCAGGACAACACCATTACCCAAGAGACTGGGTTCTACAGCCTCTCTCTATAAATAAAAAAAGACTGTAAGAAACGTATTCTTGTCTTTATACTTTCCTGGGCAACCAGCCGGGAGCTGCTGACAGCATCCTGACACCTGGTCTCGTAGTTGTTAGTCTAACACCCTGATCGCTATACCACACTGTTCTTGTTAGGTGAGTCTGCCCTGCCCACCCCCACCAATGATTTATTTGAAGTCTATTTGCACCCTACACCTTCAGCACTGTAGTGTTCCCAGGCCAGCATAAAAGTTGAATGTAAAAATAAGTAAGCAACAACAAAATCTGTGCCTACAAAGTGTCATCAGATCTATACGGTCCCTTGGTAATTATAGCAGATCAACCTTTGCCAGCCTTCCCCGGGGTTATTTAAGATGAAAACAATAAACAATTATCCTTTTTGGTGCACTGATCTAAGATCACAAATATCTCCTATTCTCAAAATGAAGACAACCAAGGACTTCACTTTTCTGTACCAGCTTTGTGTAAGTCATTTTTTCTCAGCCACCACTGACCATCTGTAAAATGTGGATAGAGAGCACAGTTGTAAAAGCACAAATTATAATGACAAGAAATTGCATGTCTGGCCATATAAATAAGGTTACATATTACCACAATACAGCTGTACCTCAGAAGTCGAATGGAATCCGTTCCAGAAGTCTGTTTGACTTACGAAACGTTCAACTTCCAAAGCACGGCTTCTGATTGGCTGCAGGACGCTCCGGTAGCCAATGAGAAGCTGCAAAAGCCCCTTTTGCATGTTCAGCTTCCCAAAGAATGTTCAGAAACGGGAAGATTCATTTCTGGTTTTTGATTGTTCACGAGCCGAAACGTATGAGTTCCAGGGCATTTGAGAACCGAAGTACAACCTGTACTTGCTAACACTTTTAAAATTGTCCAAACACTTACTGGGTTTTGTTGCCAAGGAAGATACTTATTTAGAAGAATTTTATTATGAAACATTTGATTCTATATTGAATGTTGTTGCATCGTAATCATATATAAAATTACATATAAAATACAGCAGAAAAGAAGCATACTGAGGATTTCGCATGAAAACAAGTGTACAAACTAGTTCTTACCATATGCACAAATGGTATGAAGAATCCAAATTTGGCTAATCCAAGAGAACAGACCCAAACTTCAAAGATACGATCTTTCCACAAACTTAAATCAACAATAAAACCTCTTAGTGGGGAGGTTTTAAACTTTTCGACTACACTTGGATGAGCTCTATCTTTAAAAAAACACACAATTGAAACAAACTATTATTTGCATAATAATATTTACAAAATACCATGGCTAATAAGGATGAGGGCCCACCATCAAGAAGCAGTAAAGATGAGAGGACGTGTTTTAAACCCTAAGCACATATATGAGGTTTCAAACACATACAGCCAATGCACAAAAATCTAATTTGTACTTTTGCTTTAAGTACATGGAGACATAGGAAAATGCCTTTTGCTTAATAAACAAAAGGTAAAAGATATTCCTAACTAGTCTGCTATGTCTGCATAAGTGGTACTCTGACCTCACCCTTAAATTTAGGAAGCTTGCTACAATAGAATTAAAATGCTCATATCTCACTAAAATTTCACAAAACAAGATGGAAATCTTCTACTTTCCCCATTGGCACCAAACCCTTTATCAACTGAATCCTGGGGAAAGAGGGGCTTCAGTTGTGGGATACTGGCCTACTTTCAGCCACTGCATGACCTGGGAGTCCTGATCATGCTACTCTACTCAGCCCCTTGAGTACAGCTTTTTTTCAGCCAGAATTTGCCAGAATTCAGTTCCGGCACCTCTCAGGTGGGTGCCATTGGCATTCTAAGAGAATGAGGGAGGTGTTCACGGTGAGTTCCAGCACCTCTTTTTCTAGAATAATAGCCCTGTCCTTGAAGTTAACTGAAGACAAATTTCTCATGTATTTTTCAAGTTCCTGTTCCCCACTCTGTAATGTCTAGTTCAACGTACTCCATGACCTAATGTCATTATAATGTGCATTCCCTGCTCTATTTCACATCACTGATGGCTGGCAAGGAACCACACATTATAATGGTATCAGGATGTGGGAGAAATTAGAATTTCTTAGATATCTAATGGAATAAATCAGATATTGTTGGTGGGGGAAGGGGGACATGTGCACATCTTTTTCAGCTGCAGCCATATACTCTGGTTCTAACTCAGTAATTACTTCTGCATCTTACAGATGATTCTGAGTCAATGCAAGTTATGCATTCTTAACATGGAAATTGCCAGGTGGGGTGATCAGGTAGGATACAAGACTGCACAGTGAAATGCAAGAAGCAATTTTAGCATGTGCATCTTTCCTTACTCTTCATTCAGGAGTGGCAAACCATACTTTCCAAAATCTCATTTTCTTCTGAGGGGAACCTTTGGCCCTCCAGATGTTGCTGAACTCCCATCACCCCTGATCAGTTGCCATGTTTGCAGAGGCTCTTGGGAGTTGTAGTGCAGAAACATCTAGAGAGGCAAAGCTTCCCTGCACCTGCTTTAAATGGTTCGAGTCTGTCTGGACATTAAGATCTGCCTTGGAAGGCCTTGCTTGCAAGCCCACCAGTGAGACTGATTCAGCTGCCGGGCAAAAGAGACAAAATATTTTCTGTGATGACTGCCAAATTATAACTCCTTCCTCACAGAGGTATGGATGACCCCGACTTTCAATTTTTAAGCAGGGTTCCAAAACTTATTTATTTAGGACCTTTTCTTAATTATGGCCATCCTTCAAATCAGGGCTGGGGAAGCTTTGGCTCTCCAGCTGGACTCCGATTCCCATCAGTCCCAGCCAGCAGAGCTAATGGTTAGTGATTATGGGAGTTGTAGTCCAGCAACATCTGGAAGGCCATAGACTCCTTGTTCCTGTCTTCCTGACACATCTAGTTGGCCTGTTGCAAATGAAGACATATCTGAAACCGGAATATAACAACGGCAAGAAGAAGGAAAAGTAACTAAGACAACCAAAACATTACATACGTTTTTGAAGAGGTTGATATGCAAATCCCGCAATGATGCATATTATTAGAATTCCACTGTATACACGTAGACTACGTCTCCATCCAAGTGTCTGAATTAAGTACTCGTGAAGTTTATTTTGCACAAAAGTTCCTGCGCACCCTCCTGCCATCACTATTCCAGTTGCAAATGAGCGCTTTTGAGTAAAGTAAAGGCTGACCATTATCAGGCCTACAAAAAACAAATGGCAAAAGTTACTAAGGTTTTCCTGCCCCATCAAAGTCTATGCAAAACAAGGTTTGGTAAAGCAGTGTCATGCATGACTGAAAGTAAAGTGCAGCTACAATTTTGTCAGTACTGCCATGTCTGCAGGGGGAGCCACCTAGTGGATGCGATGTGTCATGCCTTTTCTTTTAGTTAAGAAATATCAGTGTGGAACAGTGGTTAAACAAGAGGCCATCAACTCTCTGGGGCCCATGAGCATATTTAGAAACTTGAAGAAATGCCATAGGAGGCCATTCCCCATATCCACACAACACCTACACCCCATATGACAGTGTGGTGCAGTGGGTAGATGAAGGGTCACAACTCACAAGCATTTTGGGTCTATGGGCACCTTCAGAAACCTGAAGAACTGTCATGGAGGACACCCCCACCCACTGCAAACCCCTCACACTCTTCACACCTCAACCCCATAACACTCCACCCTGCTGTGACTTCCACATCACAGTGCCCAACACTGAAATTTTACCTCACAGCACACTGTCCTAAGCTGAAACACACACCCTCTACACACAGGACATTGCACACCTGAACAGATATATATGCTTCAAATAAATAAATGGTAGTCTATACTAGGTACAGTATGTGTTATTTTGAAGTACCCAGCCTGTCAAAATGACCAGATAAATTTAGTGGTTATAATGAAAAATATGAGGCCTGTATTATGGAGTGACTTTTTTCTTCACGGACACACAGCAAACTTTTCAGAACAAAGAATGCAACTGGCTATTTTATTGTGATTCAGGTTGCTTGACTGATTTTTTTTTTTTAAGTGTTACCTGGAGTGGTGCCCAGGCTTGATCCCACGCCAACAATGATTCCGTGAGTGAAAAATAGTAAACGCAAATCATAGGTATAGGAAGAACATATTAGACCAATCATGACAACCATTGCTCCAATTATTGCCACTTTGATGGCTCCATATTTCACCAGAAGTTTTCCAGATACAGGACCAAATATCATAATGAAAGCATAGCTGATGGATCCGATCCAGGCTAAAAAAGGACAAACAGCTGTAATTAAATGAAGGAAAATGCACACATGCCACGTACGATATAGTAAAACTGATTGCCATATGCTTCACAGGTATGAAATACTATAACCCTTGAGGTCTATGAAAATGCGGCAACATATACAAGCCACATTGTTTTGTTATTTCAACACATCAACAAGATGCAACAGGTAATATTAACTCCCTCTTTATTTTTTGTATTAACCCTTAAGGTTGTAGTCAATGTAGCACTAAGGTGAATGTTCTGTCAGCACAAAGATTTCTCCTCGCGCAAGATAACACCCCCTCCCGAACACCCACTAGAGTAGACCTTTTGAAATCCACAGTTGGTTAATGTTTGCTCATTTCAGTGGGTCTACTCTGTGTAAAACTTAGTTGAACACCACCCATTATATCATACTTAATCCAACCGTATATAACATGTGACGATGACCTACCTATCTGTGAGTTGCTTGCCTTGAAGGTTGTAAGAAGGGGCATCATATAAACGCCAAAAGCACTGTGGAGGCCACTGATAAACAAGGAATGGATGGCTGCTGCCAACACCACAACCCAGCCCCAGCCCCCATCAGGAGGGGGGTGTACAAAAGAAGCATCTGCATTGATCTCAGCCAGAGTTCTCTGTCGCCTCAGGCCATGTCTAACAAACAGTACCACAGACTGAAATCTCTGCAATATGCTCATGATGGAAAACAGAGACCTGTAAGGGGGGGGGGGAGTAAATGGATGTCTGTTAGCCTGCAAAACATGAAAAGGGTTCTTAATATATATATATATATATATATATATATATAATCTAAAAATCTCATTATTGATGCACAAAGACCTGCTTTGCAAACAAAGTTGAACTCGTTGTAATCCACAGAAGAACTCACTTATTGATGATTAATTTTATAAAAACCTGCAAGTAACTCTGTTGATTTTTTTAAAAAATACAGAGCATTAAGGGAATCTTTAAGTACACACTTCTAATTTGCTGCAAGATCCATCTTTCCACTTAATTTGGTGCATGCAGTTTTTTAACATGATAAAACCCACCTCTGGGGGTTTTTGGGTTGTGGGGAGGTAAACAATGAGGTGGGGTTTTTATTGAGCCTATAAGTATTATTCCCTGTTTAATTTCTGTATTGCCTTTTCCTCTTATAAGCAAAATAATGATGATGATAATAATAATAATAATAATAATAATAATAATAATAATAATAATCCTTCAACTGTTTAAATAATATGAGGAAAGTTAAGGCTTTATGTTCACCATACTGTTCCCAATTAACACTACTAGACTATAACTCCAGTCATCCCAGGCCATTTGGCCATGCTGGTGCGGGCTACAATCCAGTAATGTCTGGAGGGCCACAGGTTACACATTCGATTCCTCAAATTGTTCTTCCCGCTATCAACCACGGATGTTCCTATTTATACTCTCCTGACCAATACCTTCTATGGACGGAGCTAAACGGGAGCGGACACCGCACCGCAATTTCGCGAAAGGTGGGAGAAAGTTAGCGGATGTCTCATCCAACATTTTCTCTCATCCTTTCTAGTCCACTGTTAGCATCCCAGCAGCCGAAGGGCGCCTAGGCCCCGCCTCCATTCCAAAATGGGGGCGGGGACAATCGGCATGTGGCCACACACACACACACACACACACACACACACACACACACACACACGGGGCGGGGCTGCTTTCTACGTTGCCACAGAGACAGAAAGATGAGAAGCACACTTCCACTCCAAGGTTCCAAGACTCGAGGCTTTTGTCAACCGCGATGAAGTTATATTGCCATCACGTGGCACCTAAATCTTGAGAAATAAGTAAAGAAGGCAAGTACGTCGTCAAGGGAAGTATATAAAGTGCGCCTTCCTTCAATGCAGCGCTGCTTTTTGTGGGAATGTTTCGAGACCACTTAACTGGTATTATTACGCTTGGCGCAACTTGAGCGTTTTATAAGGTTCCGGTTTGTCTTTCTTTCTGCAATAACTGGAGCAATGGTTGTCATGTTTGGTCTAATGGGTTCTTCCTATTCCTATGATTTGCGTTTACTGCTGTTAAATTATGACAGCAACACCCGGAGGAGCACAAATCTTCCGCCCAGCCTTGAATATGCATACAGCACTCGTTACTTTCTGCCAGGACTGTGTTGAAGTTCCAGCAGAAAGAAAGAAAAAACGAAAGACAAACCAGAACCTTATAAAAGGAGGGTGCGCAGGAACTTTTGTGCAGAATAAACTTCACGAGTACTTAATTCAGACACTTGGATGGAGACGTAGTCAACGTGTATACAGTGGAATTCTCACTTTACCTCCCTAATAGCAGCTTGCTCTGTTTTGGGATTTGTTGATGCAGGAAACTATGTTCTCTTACCTGTCCTTACATTTGATTTGATGGGGCCCGAGAAAATGCCAGTTGCATGGGGATTTCTCATGGTTGTCAATGCAAGCAGTTGTTTTGGTGCACCCTTTGCAGGTAAATCAACCAATGCAAATCTGTTATTTTATTAGGCAGTTAGTTCCTACCCCCCCACCCCCCACCTGACAGTTATTTAGCAGTCTCTTTACTATGCTGCCTGTGTCTGGGATGTGGCCCCGGAAAGTAGGAAGAATTTTTAAAATCTCTTTTGGTTTGTCATTTTAACGCAAGGTTTTACAGGAACAGTTGAAATAAAGTTATTCTTTGAGAAAGTCTGGAAAATTAACCTGCATATTTTTATTGCAGGTGCAATGTATGACTTGCTCGGCAACTACAATATTGGCTTTGTAGTAACTGGAATTTGCAATATTGCTGCAGCTAGCATCCTTGCTTTCATTCCATGGCTGCAAAGAGAAACAACACAGTCATCGAAAAACTATCTTAATGCGTCTGCATGTGTGATAACAAACACCATAGTTCCTTGGAAATCACCCACTCCTTCGTTAGGGGTAAATACCATTATTCTACACTCTGTTCTAAACAAGTAGAATCTGGCTTTGCCACAGAAATTTGATGACCAACCTGAAGACAAAGGAGAGCATCTTGAGGGCAGAGCTGATATGAGGCCAGTGCAGGATATACCAGTATCAGATGCAGAAACTTTGGGATCTGTCAGACCAACAGAGCGCAGAGTGTCTTTTGCAGATGACCAACCTCAGGATAAAGGAGAGCATCCTGAGAGCAGAGCTGATGCCAAGAGTTCAGGATCTACACATCCGACAGGATACCCTCCCCTAATAAGAGGAATGGCTTTCCTAGAGAACTCTGAAGGTGATGAAGAGCCCAGCCAATTCGAAACCAATAAAAACCCCCTTTAGAAGTGAAACTTCAACACATGTAATACAGGCACAGTAAATGCCTTCGACTTCCCATGGAAAAGAAGGGGGTATGGCATTTGCCAGTGATGATGATGATGGTGAACAAGCACCACAACAGAAATGATCAGAGTGCAGCAGCAATGTTAATGATACTGGATCAGTTACAAATCTGTCTGTCTGGCCCGTCAAGGGTACATTATTTGTCTGAGTAGTATTCACAAAACATTATTTACTAAAAAGCACTTCTCTTAGCTGTATATTATTTTTGTAAGTTAGATGTACAAACAATTTGTAATTGACTGGATTTCTAGTGGTGGCTGACAAGTTTTTGACAATTGCTTTTTAAAAATAAAATGTTGTTGTTTAGTTGTGTCTGACTCTTTGTGACCCCATGGACCAGAGCACGCCAGGCACTCCTGTCTTCCACTGCCTCCCACAGTTTGGTGAAACTCATGCTGGTAGCTTCGAGAACACTATCCAACCATTTCGTCCTCTGTCGTCCCCTTCTCCTTGTGCCCTCCGTCTTTCCCAACATCAGGATCTTTTCCAGGGAGTCTTCTCTTCTCACGAGGTGGCCAAAGTATTGGAGCCTCACCTTCAGGATCTGTCCTTCCAGTGAGCACTCAGGGCTGATTTCCTTAAGAATGGATAGGTTTGTTCTTCTTGCAGTCCATGGGACTCTCAAGAGTCTCCTCCAGCACCATAATTCAAAAGCATCAATTCTTCGGCGATCAGCCTTCTTTATGGTCCAGCTCTCACTTCCATACATCACTAAAAAATAAAATAAAGCTCCTCAATTCTTTTTCTTTAGCTGGATTGGCTTGATACTGTTTTTATTTCTGCATATATACAACCTGAGCATAACCTTGCAGCATGAACACCCCAGAAGAACTTGCTTCTCTATTAGTTGCAGCTTTGGATGAAGCAGAGAGCAAGCATGTCTCTGTGTCTCCTTCTTCCAGCTTCTTCACACATAACTCTTCTGGCTACTGTTCTCATAATTAGTAGCTAGGTGAGTGGGTCTGGAGGAACCATTACTTACTTGTAGTTCCTGCAACCTATCTCATTGTTTTGGGATGCTGCTGGGGACACATAGTGGCCAAAGAAACATGGCTGACCAGCTCAGCAACCTCCTTTATTAGATTCTAGCCCTCACTGGATACAGGGCCCCAAGAATGGCAAGGGACTCGGGGCATTATCCAGACTGACCCCCCCCCAACCTCCAACATGAAAAGATTTTTGTGTTGCAGATTCAATTATTTTCCTAAGATGGCATAGTGTTTCACTAGTTTTATTACCAATACAGTGACAGAGCAGCATGGAGATGAGTCTGACTGAGGAATCCATACACTGGCCAGGTGGAGGCAGGGCAAAACACAGCAGTAGAGCCACTGCTACACCCACAACCCCATCGCTCATGCTGGCCAGGGCACGCTTGTGGGTTGCGCTAGCCTGGAAATGGTGTGGCAATCCGGCCCAGTGTCATCAAGTGATGGCACTGGAGCTGCTTCAGGAGCCAGAGGAACCTGGGCAGGCACAGTCCCCCCATGTGAAACTCCATTGGGGGACTCTGAGTGGGTGGCTGCTGACAAGAGAGCCTGCTGGCAGTAGTTCTACCTGCACTTTGGGCAGGTGGAATCGTGAACTCTGTGCCTTGGGAGATGTTCTGGGCTGGGGAAAGATTCACCTCCAGCCTGGCGGAGGGTCTTTGCCTTGTTGATGGCTCCCTGAATGGATCTTGACCCTGTCTTTCTTTCTTGGCTATTCAGGTTGGCTTGGACTCAGGAAGACTGGTTTGTTCTGTGAAAGTGTGGAGGAGAAGACTGTTATTATGATGGTTATTTTACTAATAGGCTGTCGCTCAGGATGCCTTTCTCCGTGCTTTTATTATGAGATTATCATTAATGTTTCCAATGTGTTTTTAATGTTCTGCACTGCCATGAGATCTTCCAACGACTGAATTGACAATCCCGTGCAAGGCAGTAGCTGAACTTGATGGTGTCGTACTGGAAGCTAGGAAAGTGCGGAAGCAGAAGACATAAGTCCCAGCAGAGAAATGGAGGCGACCCTGCAGAATGTAGATATGCATGCACTGGGCTTGCAGTTACGGAACCACGGGAAGCGCGCGAAATCCTGCAGGGAGCTGGCCTTGCGCGCGCCCCACTCTCGCCTCCCATCCCGCCACGATCCTCCCGCGGGGACGTCGAGGGATGTGTGGGGTGTGCCCCCTCAGCCCGAGGTGGGGCTCGGCCGGGTCGGGTCGGTGGCAACACTTCGTTCTCCCGCTGCTGCTTGCCGATCCCGGAGCCACGTGGTGGGGCCTAGGGACGCTGCTTGGGAGGCTTGAGAGGCTGAGCCTACGAGGGGGACGGACCTGCCGGTTGTGCACGTCCAGGATCTGCTGTTTTCTCTGCAATCCCCTCCGCGCCCCTCGGAGAAGCTTCCCACCAGGGCTGGCGAGGCGAGGAGCACAGCAGCTCTCTTCCGACGGGGGGGGTAATAAAGCGGGGTTCCCCGCGCTACCGCCCCTCCCGCCCCTTTGGCGAGCCGAGGCTTCAGCCCTTCCTGTTTACGGTTGCTGTAGCTACGACGGCAGCCCTCGACGCCTTGCTGTCGCTCCTCGAAGGATTAGGTCTTTTCCCTTCAAGCCCCGGGAGGCTTCCTATGCAGACACAGCAGCGACTGAGACGGTCAGAGTGGAGAAGACGCGTCTGGATGAGCGCCAGAGGGGGACTCTTTCCTCTGTCACAAACCTAGCCCACCTTCCCGCAGAGTTGCTCAAGGTGGTGTTCTTGCTTCTTCATTATATCCTCACAACCACCCTGTGAGGTAGGTTCGGCTGTGAGACAGTGAGTGGACCAAGCGTACCCAGGGAGCTTCGTGGCTGAGTGGGGATTGGACCCTGGGATGTCCTGGCCCTAGTCTAGAACCACACTGGCTCCTTGGCCCATTTTGCGTGGGATACATAGCACACAAATTGGAAGAGCCTCGTGGCGTTTTAATGCTATTCCTACAGCATTTCTGATGGCTGTGTGACTGAAGTGTATGGTTCAAGTTCTTTGCTATCCCAAGGCTACAACCCTGCTCACAGTTCCCTGGGAGCAATTCCCACTAGTCTCAGTCGTTATGTTTCATGCTTGGACAATGTATAATGCATGAACCTTGTACCAAATAGTACCTAAGAGCCAGCTTCACTCAGGAGTAAATTTCACGGTGTTCCCATGGAGGTGCATAGGATTGCATTAAGCAGGTGCCTTTTGCAGTTTCGTAATCTGATTTTCAGTATTTCATCTTAAACCTCTCAAACGTGCAAATGGCTGCTGTTATAACATTGACTATTCTTGCAATTACTGTATTTTTTAAAGTGTGTCACAAAAAGCTATAATAAGAAAAAAGTCTTCAGAAATGACGTTAGTTAAACCTTAAGAAAACTTATGCTGAATTCCTATATAGTTCTGGACTGAAACTGCTCAGAGCAGCTGTGAAATCTTAGTTTTTGGGTTGTTTTGTTTTGTTTTGTTTACAAAAGATAGGACAAGCACCATGCAGGGCTGCTTTTAATGCAGTAGGATATTTTGAAACAGGCCAGAGGATTGGACAAGAGGCCTCATTAGATGGCTTCCAGGTTAATCCATTGCAGCAAAATCAAACCAACCAACCAACCAACCAACCAACCAATAAGTCTTTCAAAGCTTATTATGCCATTATCATTGTGTTAGTCTTTAATTGTTAAAGTATTCTCTGTTGTTCTTCCAAGTGGAGGTTCTTTCAGCCATGGCCAGGGTGATGGTGTGGTGGTGTGTCCACTTTTGACTTCCATCATTAGGTAGTGGCTGGCCAATGACGGAGAGTGTCTGTGCCCTTGACCAAAACTACCAAGTGTGTAAATGTGAGGAAGGGTTCAATCCATATGAGGCAAGTGTAGCGGCACAGAGCCTGTATAAAGGCCCCTAGCAACATGATTAGTTTTTACCAAGGCAGCTACTGAGGGATTCTGTATAAAACCTTTTGTCTTTGTGTGGCTAAGCATACAGTATTGGTAGGGGCTAAGAGAGAAATACTGGCATCTGGATACAACTGATATTTGTGGGTTCTCTCTAATCCCTTCTCATCCTCACATTTCCACCCCAAACTCTTCGTCACTAAAACATGCTACGTTCTATAGAAAGTTCAATAAAGAGGGACAGGTAGAACAAACTAAGATCTGCCTTAGTGTGAGCCCATCACTCTGTCAACAAGAAGACCCCAGTGCTTTTGAGAAAATGATAATATGGAGAGGGGAGGAAGGAGAGAATTATCTATTTTGCCTTGAGCTCTTTGGAGGAAAGGTGGCATTTAGAATAAACAATAACAACAACAGCAACAGCTTACTTAATGTTTACTACTTAAAACCTGACTACTGCACATTTTTTCCAGGTTTTATTGAAAAAAAGAACTTTACCCTTCAGTGCAAAAAACCCCTATTCTGTTAAATCAAAATGAAGGACATTAGGATTAGTTTCCACAAACTTTACTCATTTTCAGCTACATTCACAGTTCCATAAGAAGAGTTTCAAAAGGTGGAAAATGGAATCAGATATTTTCAAGAGGAAAGACTGTTTATCTCAGCAGGTTGTAAAAGATTTGCCAGCCCAAGCATCATGTCATAGCACAACTGATGAAACAACGGGATCTTCCTTAAGTCTGGGTTGGGTAAGCAGCACAAACAACCCCTTTCCTGCACAGTTTACATCCTTGAATACGTCCAGCACACTGGAAAGAGACGTTGGCCTACCTGGTGACCTAGGCCACCTTCAAATCTTTCAGGATGCCAAGCCATTCAGTTACACAGCCAGCTCTATTCTTTTTCCTCACTTATTACCACCAACTCAGGCAGGAACAGTCCCTGCTGGTAAAAACAGTGAAACCCTGGGAATCCCAAATGCTGCCATCGCTGCTACTTCTCCTCCTCCTCTGATAACTCAAGATGCTATATGCTGTCAAAACGGGAAACAGGTGAGGTTGTGTTCCATTTAAACTAAGTTAACATTATTACAATCCAAACCCTCTAATTCTGTACACCCTGCTGAATACTGCACTAGTGTCTATTCAAAACAAAGGGTGCCTCCAGACTGTCACTATTTTACAGGAGGAATTTAAGCGCACACTGGAACTTTAGGTTTTCCACAGTTAAAGTGTATTAAAGCACCCTGTTGCTCTAGTACAACAAATCCACTTTAAAAAATAATTTTAAAATGGACATTTTGTGGTTAAGAAAGTGATGGTGAAATGGACTGAAAAATGTGAGATGATTGAATGATTAATGGGGCAGCATGTAAACACCCCACAAGCAAATGAGGATGAAAGTTTGTTGCTGTCCAACTGCCCTGTAAACATATCAGAATGAATGCCCTATATAAGGACATATTCTAACAACCATGTAAGTTTTGTGCAGGCAAATTATCATGAATGCTAAATAAATGGATTACCTGGACTTCAACTGCCATCAGCCCCACCCAGTAATGGCTAATGATTAAGGATAATGTGAGAGGTAGTTGTTTATTCCTCCTTGTGGCGTTCGTACAGAGTCCCCGGTTGTTTCACAGACTATTGACCCGTACACCACTAATCCGCTGTCACCAACCAGGTCCTCAACGGTAAAATCACTTCAGCCTCAGTCAGGTTCTCAATTAATAGAGAAGAGTGTGTTTTATTTCAATCACAAACAAACTTTTACGGCATTGCAAACATTGTTACTCTTTACTTTCTTAGTCTTATTTTCCTCTCTCTATCTCTTCTACCTCCCCTCACTCAAGAACCAACTGCCCTAACTGTCTCTCTCTTACCAACTGCCTACCAACAGGTTCTCCAACTGCCTTTCCCAACCAGCCAACCCACTAAAACGAACCAACTACCCACCAACAGCTCCCAACAACAATAGCAACTAACTCAAGCCTCGGGCTAAGCCCTTTTATACACAGGGAGGCGCCGCCTCCGGCTTTCCTATTGGTCTATATTTTTAACCATAACTTCCCCACCTGTTCAAACATTTTCTAAATCAATGGGCAAACGCCACACTCCCTTAAAGATATAAAATGCATTTAACAGCAAAGAGCCCTACTGTATCAGGCTGCAAGCCTGTTGGGTCCAGGATTCTGTTCCCACAGTGGCCAATCAGATGCCTATGGGAAATAGGCTAGCCTTACCTGAATGAAACTGCATTCTCCCCCCTTGTGATTCCCAGTAACTGATATTCAGAGGCAAACTGCGTCCCAGCAGGGAAGCTAGAACTCATCCTTCTTTGGTGATCACTCGCAGCTGAGTAAGATTGTCTGTAAGTGACTGTGGAGGCCATTTCTGGATCCACATGTCCTTCCACAGTGGGGAAATAGGTTTCCAGACGGGAGTTGATCACGGTGAGCGTTTGCCAAACGTGCCTTCCTCTTAGCACGTTTCTCCTTTTCGTCCTGAGTTTAAGCTTCTTCAAAGTCCATGGTAAAAGCTGTTCTCTAACTGGAACGCTCGCAGGCGTTTATATTACATGTTTATAGATTTGCCTTGAGAGAGTCTTATAGCTGCATCCTCCATGAATTGATTTAATTCTCCAAATTGGTGGTCATCACTGAGGGAGTGAATCCTGTAGTTTTAACTATGTGCTGTGTGAAGAAATACTTTCTTTTATCTGTCCTGACCATATATTCCTTGACTATAGATTACTTGGAAGCAAGTCCCACTGTACTCAGTGTGATTTACTCTCAGATGTGCATAGGATTGTAGTTCCATGACTAATTTAAGCCCAGTTGCAGAGATGAGGAAGCTGTGGACCTCCATTGGTTGTTGACCTACAACTCCCATAATCCCTAACCATTTTTTTATATATAAATTTTTATTGATTTTCCAAACACAAAATAAAAACAAAACAATACACAATACATACACAAACAAAACATATAAACACGTATAATTTCATAACCTCTTTTTCATAAATCTTACTTTCCGGACTTCCCCATGCCTCCCCTTTCCTGCATCCCTGTTTTATAATTTATTCAGCAACCCCTCACTTCAATTAACTAATTGCTTATTTTCTCCCCCCCTTCTTCTCTTACTTAAACAATTACAGCTGAAATTCTATATTTTTCTTTTCCCTTGACATTTTAGCACTCATTAATTTTACAACAGTTCTTAAGATAAACTTTAAATTTCTTCCAGTCTTCTTCCACCGTCTCTTTTCCTTGGTCACGGATTCCCTAACCCTAACCATTGGCCATGCTGGGGCAGATGGGAATTGGAGCCCAATCCCTAACCATTGGCCATGCTGGGGCAGATGGGAATTGGAGCCCAACAATCTGGAGGGCCACAGGTTCCCCATCCTTGTCCTACTGCTTTTAAGGGTTAAGTTAGACAATTTTTCATTTTATTTTCTTCTTTCAGAGTCCAGGGCAGCAGGAACAGCTCATAATGCACCAGATGGAGCACCTTCAACAGCTAGTAGTTGAACAGCAGAAAATAATTTCGTTCTTTAATTCAGGTACTACAAGGAATGAAAGTATTCAGTTTCCTGACAGAAAGATTCCTGCCTTTTTCGTCAGTGTGTTATATTTTCCAGCATAATTTGAGGAGGCTATAAAAATAACCACAGCTCTTTGGGTCATCTTGACCCAAGGTGCTGCTTTTTAAAACACATTTCAAAAGAGCAGGGTGGATGCAAGAAATTACAGTGGATTTCAGGAGAATTGGGTAAGCAGGACATTCTAATGATGCTTGGCTTTCTCCACAAAAACAATTCTAGTGCCTATTAAAACATCACACACAAAACATCTTTTTCTGTTGATAAATGATAGACATAGATGGAATAGGGGGCATCTAGACAGGTGTTTATTGTAGGATGATAGGTCCCCTCATGGATGCATTTTTTTTGGTAGTACCCACACATCATTTGCATCAAAATTCCAGCTTGTCATTTACTCTCCATACCCTTTTATTCTGGGTTTATCATTTCCAGGGAAAATCCTCTAGTTAACAGCCTGTTTGAGATATATCAGTGACCTATTTGAAAATTCAGCCCCCATCTGGAAGCACCTAGAGTTTATCAAAAGTTGAAGAAAAAGCTGATGCTGGCAACCCGTTTGTGATAATATCAATAATCTACATACAGATTTTAAGATCTCATCTGGAGTTGCCTATAGTTTCACCATATGTGCATTCAGAAGCAAACAATCAATAGCCTTCAGAAAGGTTGGGCAACTAGTTTGGCACTGAGGTAGATAAATCATTTGTTTTTAGCGTGGAGTCAGTTTAGTAGATACTTTCTGGATAAGTGGGAAATAGACATCAAGGACACTAATTTTTGCTCCTTGCTTTGTTTCTTTATCCAGGCTTTTCAGCTTCTGCTGGTATTCCACCTCACCTTCTTGCTATGATCCCATCCCTTCCAGGAGTCCCAGCTGCTTTATTCCCTGTCCAATTCCCTTTGGAGAATTCTTTGCAAGCTCAGAATAATGGAAGCTCACAAACCAGTCCCTTAATAATAAAGCCTACTTTGCAGCAACTTGCCACAGAAACCTCAGCAAACAGCAACTTCTTAGAAGTTTCAAGGGAGCACCCTGAACCTCACGAAAAAGGTGATGAGCTAAAGTAAAATAACCAAAGTAAAGCTGCAAGCACCTAGCAATGGTTTAAACAGAAGAAAGAAACACAGAATGAATGATTTTTTGTTTTTATATTCTCATTTCGTCTCTCTCTCTCTCTCTCTCTCTCTCTCTCTCTCTCTCACACACACACACACACACACACACACACACAAGCCCATAAAACATAAGTTGGAGTGAATCAGACTTGGAAAGGTTTGTAGACATGCAATTGAATCTGTGTGTCTAAGTTCTAATTTGAGCATGAACCATTGAATGTGGACCATAGAGGTTCCACCCAAATTACAGAGTAAACCAAAATTGTCCACCAGCCCTAGTTGGGAGTAAAAGGTAAAAATAAAGGACCCCTGGATGGTTAAGTCCATTCAAAGGCGACTATGGGGTTGCGGCGCTCATCTCGCTTTCAGGCCGAGGGAGCCGGTGTTTGTCCACAGACAGCTTCCTAGGTCATGTGGCCAGCATGACTAAACAGTTTCCAGTGCAACGAAACACCACGACGGAAACAAGAGTGCATGGTATCACCGTTTACCTTCCTGCCACAGCAGTACCTATTTTTCTACTTGCACTGTTGTGCTTTTGAACTGCTAGGTTGGCGGGAGATGGGACAGATCAACAGGAACTCACTCCGTTGCGGGGTTTCAAACCGCCAACCTTCCGATTGGCAAGCCCAAGAAGCTCAGTGGTTTAGACCACAACACCATCCGCGTCCCACAGTTGGGAGTAGGGTTGGTGGAGTAGCCTAACAAGAGCAGAAATGGCTGGTGTTCATTTATTTGTGGACAGAAATCTACCCAGTGTCTACCATAGGTATTCACTGTTATTTTTGTTTACATATGAAGTGTAATTAATGATCCCCCTCCCCATTTCCATTGTGTTTCCTTTGCACTGAAATGAATGGTATGGTATAACATGTAATCATGACATGACATGACATGACATTCTGCCACAATGCACAGTACACAACTAGTGTAGCTTTTGCCGGAAGCTAACCTGCAGTGCAGTGGAAACAGTGCTGCATGCGACGAACCTGGGTTGGAATGGAAACTGATGCTTTCTTACATCCCTTAAATGCGAGTTCTGCCGTGTGTGTGTGTGTGTGTGTGTGTGTGTAGGGGAGTCAGCACTCTGCCACTGAAGCTACCTGGGCCTCAAATGACAATGCTAGATCCAGGAGCCACTCCCCCAAACAATCTGCATCTTATTCAGATTCAGTATGTTTCCACCCTTTAATACATGAAAAGGTTCCCTGGGACATTGTTACCTCTTTCCCCTCCTTCTCCCCTCCCCTGTTCAAGAGACCTAATTAATGTAGTAAAAGCCTTTATTCTTTTCGTTCTTTCCTGATATTTAGAAGCAAGTCTGCCAGGTGGAGAACCTTGGCTTGAAACTTCGCCACCTGTTACAGAACAAAGAGGGGAGCAACAATTAGAGGAAAATGCTTCTCTTTCCCCCTTTGGATTAAGAATGAACACGAAGACACGGAATGTAGATGACAGGTGAGGGGGAAATCTAATATTATAAAACTTTTAAAACATTAAACAATTCTAAAACTGTTAAAACATTTACAGCTGGTGGAAGGTTTGGTGCAAATGTTAAGTGAGGAAAGGAGCACATTTTATTTATCCCCTTTTTGTATAGGGGGAACTTTTCTCTCAGGAGCCAAAGTCCCATGGGGTGGAGGGGCGAGGACTCAGTCAAGGGGCCACACAAAAATAAAAAGTTCCTGAAGAGAGTTTTGAAAATGTGTATCGAGTGGCTGATTGCTGACCCAGTCCAGGTTTCCACCACTGAAAGCATGTACAGTGGTACCTTGGGTTAAGAACTTAATTCGTTCTGGAGGTCCGTTCTTTATCTGAAACTGTTCTTAACCTGAAGTACCACTTCAGCTAATGGGGCCTTCTGGTGCCACTGCGCGATTTCTATTCTCATCCTGAAACAAAGTTCTTAACCCGAGGTATTATTTCTGGGTTAGCAGAGTCTATAACCTGAAGCACCTGTAACCCAAGGTACCACTGTATCACATCAGCAGACCACTGGTGCTGATCTGTACTTTCCCACCTGAGGAGAGCTTTGAATGTGCAGATTGGCCCAGCTGTCTCCCAATTTGGTTTGCACTTTCAAAGCTCTCTAAACCTTCAAAGACCCACACTTTAAAAGCAGTCCAGATGTAATCCAGTACTGGGTGAGATCCAGCCCATGTACCATAGGTTCCTCACCCCTCATATAGGAGGGATCCCTTGATATCTTTACAACATCCAAATCCAATACTGTCTAGAGGTGGAAGCATTTTTACATGAACAGCATTATTTCAAGCTAAAAATTAAGAAACTACCATAAAATCAGTCCAGGGACATAGAAAGCTGCCTTATACTTCTTCAGACTCTTAGTCCATCTAGCTCAGTATGGTCTACAGTGAGTACCAGTGGCTTTCTATGATTTTTGGCAGGTTCTCCTTCTGCATGCAAAGCAGATGTTTTACTGCTGAGCTGTGGCCCTTTCCCCATGAGGGTGTTGATAAATGTGAGCTAATTAGACTTGACACAGTGAGGAAATACTGAACCCCTTGGGGGGTGGGGGGAACACAATGTTAGGATATCCATTGCCACTTCTCTTATTAGTATTCTGCCATTTCCCCTTCCAAGTTTGAAGCAGCATAACATACCTCAGCCGCCATTCCTCGTAATGGAAAATGGCTGCAGAATATTTATGTTCAAATCTGCTTTATTATTTCCCTAGACCAATCAGACCTGGAATTGGAGTGAGGCGGAAGACATTTGAGGAATTTGTTGAGGAGCAACTTAAAGTCGATTCTCAACAAGCAGAGAAGCAGCAACAGGTACCAGAGCATAAGTTGTGTTAATACAATGTTTGTTATGCTGCTAAAACCCTATGGTTCTGCATGATTTCGAAACCCATTTGACATGATTCATTCTTTGAACAGGGGTTTCATTCCTCTCTTCTGTGAGCAGGAACATGCCTGCCATTCTTTATTGAGGGCTTCTCATATATAAACAACTATTGGTCCATAGAAGAAATTTGGAAGTTTGTAGGGCTTCGGATTATACACTCTGGTGTGTAGGTGTAAGGTTTGAGGCACCTAGGATCAGCAGGTGTCTGTGTGTGTGTGTGTGTGTGTGAGAGAGAGAGAGAGAGAGAGAGAGAGTCATTCCTTGGGACAGGCATCAAGCGAGCTGGCCGTGAGGTCAGGAGAACACCAGGTTGCCGGCAGTGGCCTGGCATACATACTTACTTGTGGGAAACCACCACCATCTTGAGGTGGAGGACCCCTAACGCTGCAGCCTATGATAAATCCCCAATAAAATCAAGAGGAGGCTAACCATTGTCTTTGGAGCCAGAATTCTTCTCTTCAGAAACTTTGGAAATTCACACCCAAGCTCTTTGAGATTGTTTGTTTTTAATGGGATTCATTATTAATTAGAAATCATGAGATATCCCACCACATTTTAATGTAATTGCCTTCCTTACAGAACTCCCATGAGACTAAAGCCACTGCTCAGAAGTCATTTCTGAAACGTGGGGAAGGGACCGCAAGGCTTGAAAAAAAGAGAAACAGTGTTGGCAAGGAACCAGCCAGACTTCCTAGACACGTTAGCTTTGATTGTCAAAATAATTTCTCATGGCCTTCACAATGGGATGCAGAAGAACTATTGGGGAAACACCCACAACTGAAAAGGCAGGTCACTAGCCCCACCGCGCTGATCATGGATGATGAAAACACACATTGTATCACCTTCAAGGGTGATGTAAAAGGCCAGCTTCATAATTGCGAGCGGAGGTCAGATGAAATAAAAGACAGCAGTGAATCTGGTGGTTGTGATAGCAAAGGGATGGTAAATGGAGAAGTATCTGGCGTACCACCTCAGTTTGACAGATCCAAATGTTCACAGGAATGTCATGAACAAATAATTGACATTAAAGCAAAGGTGACTGAAAAAAATGAAACCTCAAGTCTTGGGTCTCAAGATCATTTGGTTAGGGTTGACAAGAGATCCCTGGATTTTAAGGTTCCAATGTGGCTTATGGAGAACATAGAAGACAGTGTATCACAGGTTGTAGGAAGGTCCATGGATGCTTCACCAGATGTCCCTGAGCTTCATAACTTAGAAAGCAACCAAGACAATCAAGAGGAGCAGAGCTCTGGACTTCAGGTTGCTCAAAGCGTGACTCAGATTAGACAATGTGAAAATGAGCATTGTGTTGCTGAGGGGAAAAGCCCAGAGGGCCAAGTGGAAGTCAACCCTGGATTTAAGAAAGTCAATGATCGAATAATAAAAGTTACACCTAAATCAGATAGAAAATGTGTCACCAGAATGGCTAATTTCCAAAAGAACAGCAATGCAGGTGCTGCTAATGCTTGGGGAGGAAAAGCCCTCTCTAGTGATTCACTCTGCACATCTACTGATAGTGAAGATGAACCTAAATCTCATTGCTCTCAGTTCACAGTAAAGGCCTAGTAACCATAGACCAGCTAACATTGGCAAGAACATGGATCTTTCCGATGCTGACTATGCCACTGACGAACCCAGTGGAGCTGATGATTACTCATTGAAAAACCATGGAAAATTGCCTGCCAGTAAGTTTGGTGTCCAGGAACCAGCAGGTCAACAGGAGGCCACTCTTATCACAAGTAGCAGCAGCAGCAGCAATGAATCTAGTGTTGATGATGGCAGCCTGAAATTTGGAAAGACTCTCTCCCTCCTTAGAAGACCTTCCTGCCACCCCTCAAAAACTAGAAGAGGAGGAAGGAAGTCTAAAACACAGAGCAACGGTGTTGCCAGCAATTACAGTGCAGAGTACAATTTGCAACCTCCTTCCTTGACAAGTGAACTTGTGGCCAACCTTTTCCCTGCTTTCAAAAGCAAAGCAAATGTAGATGATAAAAGAGCTATCCCAGGTAAGACATTTTAAAATGACAAGTGATTTTTATTTAATATCCAGAAAATTCAGCTTGCATTCAGCAAGCTCAGATAAATGGTGCAGTAGAAAAGCTTTGTTGAAGACACCTCCTTATCAAATTCAACCAAAATGGTTACACAGACTGACTTGACTCTTTGTGCTTTAACACATGTTAACATAAATCTCTTTGTAGAGCAAGTTCAGAAAAGGCACACTGATAAGTTAGAATGTGAACCGGAAGTTCAGGTGCGTCAGAGAGAAACTTCTCTCCTAGCTCAGATGAAAGAAGAACAAGCAAAAGCCATGGACTTTCTGAGGTAAGGAAATTGTTTATGGTTATTTTCCTATAGGAATTCATATGCCATCCTTCCCGTGGGTAGCTCTTGTGCAATCCCTTTGTATCTGAGGCAAAGAACAACATCATTATCTTTATTTAAAGCATTGCTATTTAGGTTTCCAAACTTTGCCGTCTAGTCTTAGAAGCTTCTGAAATTATAAGTTGTTTCAGTGTCACCTGTACACTGATATAAACCAGCCTGCAACTGAGTGCAAAAGTTCCAAGTTCTACTAAACTAGGCTTGCCAGATTTCAAAAAATCCTGACACCTGCAAAGTTATTGAGGTTTTTTTGGAAGACACCACAAAATTTGAGAAGGACATGAGTGTAACAGCACTCCATTCCAGCCTTATGGTCCAGTACAGATAGATTTTTTTCAAGACTATGACATACCTGATTTTAATACAGGTAGTATTAAGCACATTCCCCCTATTTTTTTAAAAAATGCCCAAGTCTCAGATCTGTGAAAACAAACCCTTGAGTTCCTGTACATGTGATAGCCTAGTCTTTTACATCACCCCTTGGTTTCGTTTTCAACAGAAGACAAATAAACCAATTTGAGGCCAAGAGGTTGCAGAAGTTGCATTCCCTGGAACAGTGCAAGACTGAGGAAGCCCTGAAATTGCAGAAAGAAAAGGCAGAATTTGAGAAGCATACGACAGTAGGTAAAGGAGAATCAGGGGAAATACAAGTAAGTTGTATATTGCACAATGATGCGTTTTGCATCATAGAAACCTCAAAATTAAGTGCAGTATTGTCTACACTGGCAGTGGCTTTCCAGGATTTCAGACAGGACTTCCCCCAAGCCCTACCTGCAAATGCTAGGAAGTGAACCTGTTCTGTTTTGTACACAAAGGAGATGCTCTACCACTGAGCTACCTCTCCATAATTGAATCTAATTTCCTCTTTTAAATGAGCATTTAGAGCAGCTGTCCGTAGGCTTGGCCTCCTTTAGTTTGGTGCATCAGAACACTTCCTCTTACTGGAGCTGGAAAAATGGTGAGGGCTGCATTGCAATTTAACAGGGGCGCTTACTTGCAAGAGCAGGGGAAAGGAGGACTTGTTCTTGTACCTAGGGAGATTTTCCTATTGCCGTTAAGTTGACTAATGACTTCCCCTCTCTCTGTCCTGCTCTTTGTCTTGTCCTTCATCAACTCTTTTCATCTCTACTTCCTACACAGGGAAAGAAGCCCTTGAGCATTCAGGAGCAGTCTCTTTCAGACCACTGCCAGTCCCTACATTTCTGTTTCCAGGCTTGTCAGTTCCTCTCGTACATGAACCTGTTTTATCACTACCCTGGATTTGGTCCTTTCAAGATTTACCTACCAAGTCCTTAGGTTACAAATGGTGCTTACACCCTGCCTCGCCTTGGCACACATCTCCACCATACCCCCAAATTATATGAGAATAGACTTATTCTCCCTCAGCTGCACTTTCAGGAGCTTAAATTCAGAAGGCAGCTAATCATATGCAACAGAACAGTTTCATATTACCTGTTGGGCTAGCTCAGTAGAACATGAGACTCTTAGGGTTGGGGGTTCAAGCCCAACGTTGGGCAGAAGATTCCTGCATTGCAGGGGGTTGGACAAGATGACCCTCATTGTGCCTTCTGTGATCTATTCCTGTCCCTAAAGTGGACATGGCTCTCCTCCTAGAAACCCTGCTTGAGTTGAGTCAGAAGACCCAGCCTTGGCTGACAATTGCCCACAGTGGTGCAATTGAGTATTAACCACATGTAGGTTAAGCTTGCAGTAGTACTTATGTGAGGTTTAGTGAAATAAGGAGAGGGCCTGATGTCACTCAGTCATGTTGCAACACAGAAATGGCAACACACCTTTCCCTGGAAAACCAACAACCCTGTTTTCCTAATGATAGATGTTAAAGCAGCAAATAGCAGGGCTGCAGGAGGAGTTCAGAAGGAATGAGACCCGCTGGCACGCTGCCCATGGCGAGCTGAGAAGCCAGGTCGAAGCACTGACCAAACAGAACCTGGAGCTTCAAGACGAGCTCAGGGTCTCTGAGCATCAGAAGATGGAAAGCGAAAGGAAACATGGAGCCGTGGATTCGATTGGCAGAAAAAGAGAAACGCCGGTAGGATAGGCAGACCTCCTGTTTGTGTTTGGCTTCTTGGCTTGCTTTGTTGTGAATGTGCTGTGGCTGTTTTGATGTAGCTATGCTCATTTTTAAAAGATCCACTGATGGGGAAAGGATTGCGGCTCCTTGGATGTTGCTTCTTATTCTAGAGCAGGCTTCAGAACTCTTCCCGAATGGATGGGGAAAAGCTGGCACCTTCTCTCTTCCTTTCCCCACTAGCAGATCTTCTCACAGGTAGGCAATGGGTCCTCTGAGAAGCGACAGGCTAGAGTTGGAGTCCATCCTCAACTAGCACATCTGTTTTGAGTAGGAATCTACAGGGAGGAGCAGTCTCGTGAGAGTTGCCGTCCTTTTTCCAGGAAGAATGTGGCTGGCCTGCAAGCAGCCTTAATTTTGTCTGCTCTTTAATTAGACATATAGACAAGGCTGGCCCAGAACATTTTGGCACCTGAATGCATTCCTTGGAGGACACATCCACTGCCCCTGTGGCTCTTGCTGCCTGAGGCTGTTGCCTCACCTTGCCTCATAGGTGCGCCGGCTCTGCGTATAGAGAATGGCTGCTGAATCTACTGGGCACATGAGACATTCTTAACTGCTACTGCATTATAATTTCTTTTTCAGGTCTCAGCAGCTATTTTGAGAGGGACACCACCTGAAGAAACCCTGGTAGAGAAACTGTCGCAAAATAGCCACAAGAGCCCTGACAATAAGCTTATGGGAAGGAAAATAGTACCACCAGATGAACTGGCCCCTAGAGATTCACAGGTAAGATATATTGATCCTTCCCCAGTCCCCATATAACCTTATACTGCTTCTAGCATACATACAGTCAGTGTACAGCTGGTGTGTTGTAATGAACATAACAACATAACATCTGCAATAAAATTATATCTATAAAACAAAAACAAAATTACATCTATAAAACAAAAACAGAACACAGTCATGCTTCAGTAGATCAGATTAGTCCATCAATGTAGAATTTCTTGAGCATCCCTAATTGCTGTAAAAATTACATCCAGATAATGAAGCACATTTGAAAGTATTATGGAAATGTTAACTATTATTGGTATTATTAAATACTGTGGAAACATGTTAAATCTTCAGTTTTTAAGTATTCCTAGTGGCATGCTCACAAATAAGACAGCAAAGGCCAACACCATGCAATAATTTTAAAAAAGCATTTAATCTTTTCTAGGCAACAAGGAGGGCTCTGCAAAGGTCTGAGTCACTGAAATCTGCAGCAGGAGAACAAAGAGTGAAGAGCCCATGTAAAGCAGTTCATAACAGAAGTGTGACACCCATAAGCCAGAGGACCCCTCATCAAACACAGTTTGGACTACAGAAAGTAATGCACATTCTTTGAATTTATTTAGGAAATTTATAAAAATGCTTATGTTAAAAAAGAAACCTCTGAGCAGTGTACAATAAATAAAATTTTAAAATAGCATGAAATGCAGTGCAACCGATTACACAGTAACCATGTCACAACAGTTGCTGATATTAACAATCTAGGAATGTCTGAGTACAAGCTGCCTTGTACTGAGTTAGACCATTGGTCCATCTACTTTAGTGTTGTCTACAGAGACTGGCAGCATTGATTTGTTATTATTATTTCTGGAAAAACACTGCAAATTGCAAAGCAGGATGCTATGAAGATTATTGCCTACTGCCTCTTCCTCTTACAAAAGGTTATTTATTTACTGGCATATAATTAAACTTGCCTGCTACATATATATAAACCTATAGTCGACCCATTTACATAAAAGATAATTTTTTAGGCATTATTTGAATGCATTTATTCTAATCTTGGCTAAGCCTGTCTCCTTTTCCAGTGAATTTGTTCTGCCAAAGGACTGCTTTGGGAGCCTCTTTGGCTGAAGAGCAGGGTTCAAATGCTCTAAATAAATAAATCTTCACAAGATCTACAACGTGTTGCCCAGTGACATCCAAATCTAAACCTTTTGGAACATATCTTCAAGCTGGTGTCTTTATAAACCACACAATACCTTTTTCTCCAAGAGCCATGGCATTTCCTGCTGCTTTTGGCTCAGCTCCACATCACCACAGTGAGGAAAGCCTGCCTTCAAGTGCGTAGGAGCACTCTGTGCCTTCATTTAAAGGCTTCCTCTTCATTGTAGGCTTTGCCTCAGTTGGCTCACAGTCAGCTGCACAGTTATGGAAGGAAGACACCCGTGTCTGAATCAGAACCAAGCGTACTTACGAGCCCAGCTCTGCATGTGAAAGGTAAAGTATGTTCAAATGGTTGCGTACTTCCTAGTTCCTATTGGGATAGCTCAGTCGGTAGAGCACGAGACTCTTAATCTCAGGGTTATGGGTTCAAGCCCCATGGTGGGCAAAAGATTCCTGAACTGCAAGGGGTTGGACTAGATGACCCTCTCGTGGTCCCTTCCAATTCTATGATTCTGTGTTGTTCAAACATGTCCATTTTTCTGGCCAAGGACAACATCAGTATCAATGTTTTGGAGTCCGAATACAGGACTTGAAATATCGGTGCTTTCATATGTGGCTGTTGACAATTTTTAATATGTAAATATTTTAATCCCTCTAGGCACGTTCTCTTCCACTTCTGGGAGTTCAGACGACACAGCATTTTTAAATAGTCAAAGCAACGACAGTTTAAGCACCACATCCTTGAGTAATGTGGAAATACAGGTATGTTTATGTATAAGCCTTGAGCATATTTTACAGCAGGCCTAAAAACCTACTCTGATAAGAGTCTCTGGGGCAGTGGCGTAGCTTGGGATGGGGCACAGGGGCAGTTGCCCCAGTTGTTTTTGTCACTGGGCTCTGATTAAAAATGGCTTCTCCATACGAACCAAGAAGTGACCTCGCCAGACAAAGGAACAACTCTTCTTTTCTTATCTCTGTGGCTGCGATCTCCTAGCCAGTTTCCCAACCTTGTGCCTCCAGCTGTTTTTGGACTGCAATTCCCATCATCCCTTGCCACTGGTCTTGCTAGTCAGGGATGATGGGAGTTGTAGTTCAAAAACAGCTGGAGGCACAAGGTTGGGAAACACTGCCCTAGGCGACACAAACGCCCTTAGGCAGTTGAATGTGCATGCCCACTCTGCTCATTTCCATCCCACCCATCCATGCCCTCCATACCACCCCGGGTTCTGGTAACCTACGCTACGCCGCTGCTCTGGGGGAAAGGGGTGGGGAAAACAGGGTTCTTTTATTGATCAGTTAAACCATATGGCATTAAATATAGCAGATTCCTTTAAACATATGGCTTAAGTGGTTTCAGATGATTACTGACAGGTAACAATTTTTATAGGTGAAAGAGAATCCTAGCCATAAAAGGGTTCAGAGATCCAATAAATCTTCTGAGCAAGTGGTTTCTATGTCCACCTCCAGGAAAAACAGCATTGCCTCAAATGGCAGGAATACACCTGTGGAAAATCTTCCTATTTTTGTGGAAACTAAAAATAAGGTTTGGTCTTCTGGGTGTCTGAATTTCTCCTTGCATGTCTATGTTTCTGTATCAGTAGTGTTTCTTTTTTGTTCTGTCATGCAACCAAGTGCTAAGATAACCTTCAATTCTGTTTGCCAGAGATATCTCTGTTAGGCTTACACCAGGTTTATCTATTTGTTTTATGGTTTTTATATTGTTTTTCATTATTTGTTTTAATTAGCTAGCTTGGGCATCACAGCTGGAAAGGATATATATGGGGGGGGGGATCCCTAACACCCTCTTCTTGAATAAAATACGGTGCCACTCCCCCTCTTATGTGGGATTTTATAGATCATGCCACTCTGTGCAGAAAAATACATGCAATGAAAATTATGTTTGATTGTTGATAGGCTTCTCCTCTCAAATCAATACTGTCCAGAAGAGCATCACTATATACTGAAATAAAGGAGGATGGGGAAGTGAAAGAAATAATAGAGTACCCCGATGGAAAGGTAAGAAATATTAGCTAAGTATAAAAGCAGTAGAAATATTAAGTGACAGAAGTAGTGGGGTGTGTGGCCTGGAGCATGGCCCTAGAGCTACTCTCCCCACATTGGTAGCACTGTGACTTACCTGGACAGGGCTGGGGCTATGCGGTGCACTGCCAGGACCCCTGCTGCCAATCCAGAAATTGCACTGGTGTACCTGCACAGCCCTGACTTCGCTGCTTAGGCAGCAGTGACTCCAGTGTTAGGAGGGTGGCTCCACCCCACCCCACATGCTGCTACTACAGAGGTAGCATAATATTTGAAAACGTCATTTATTGCTTATGTCGCACTTTTCCAAAAGGAAGACCAAAGCGAATCACCGCGAGCAACTTAATTAACACAGAACATCAGAGCAACCAATGGAACTAAACCTAGTGTATGTGAAAATGTAAAACAAGTCAAAGCCACGTTCATGTCCAAGCAGTAATACAATGAACCTGTGAAATACAGAGCTATGCATTCAATTACAAGGGTCTTCCTTCTGGCCTCCATATCCTCACACTTAGCTTCAATTTGTACAATGATGGGAACTGCTTCTTTGTGGGATGGCCCCATGCCACCGGGGAGGGCATCTGAATATTCATCCAACCTTGCGCCCCAGATTTCTGCACCTTTATGTTGGCAGATGCAGAATTACAGAATACAGAATTACAAAATGGACAGCGAATTTGGAAGGTGGTCTATGTTCTCTCACTGGACTGGTGGAGGGATCTCTTAACCACGGTTAAGAGATCGGGAGTGGACCATAGGATCCCATTCTTCCCATCCTCTCCTCTCTTGTCCTCAATCTCTGACATTAAGCAGATTTGATATTGTTGAGAACTCCTTCGGCTAGTATCTGCAACCAGGGTTTGAAGCTGATTTGCAAAACTTACCCCCAAGGCAAATCTTATTAGTGTTGGTGCCAATGTAGTGTTGAGCTGCTTTTTGATGTGTGTGCATAAACCCTGCCTTGCTCCAAATGCCTCTCCTCACAGTTGACTCCATTGATTTAATATGCCTTTCACCTGCAAACCACCCAGGGAAGCTTCCTCTTGTACACAGTCTTCACTGGAGGTTGTGTTGGAGTGCAAGGCAGCTGGTTCCGTGTGGCACACGCATCACCAGGGCTGCGTTCCCCATCTGCTCATTGAGGGGTCTTGGCTGATTTCCCAGGAGCTCTTTGCATGAAATGAAGCTAACTTCCTGCAGAGCTGGCATGCATGCGATGGGGGTCACGTTACATGAAAATAAAAGTGCTACAAGCATATGTCTCTGCCATATGGTAATTCATTAAAGCACAATTTGGAGCACCCTCTGCAGCACCGGAGGTCTCCAGAGGAATGCAGATTATGCTGAGTTGCCAGATAGAATTTTTAATGCCATTTGTGCTGGTCATAGATCTCAAATCAGCCTAAGTGAATGGCAGGAGTGTGTCTCCCATGCCCTGAAGCTTTTTAAAGAAACCAGGTGGCTGTTTTTGGCACTTCTTCTGAAAGGCCTAGGATACTTTTGGGACAACTCACCTTTTCTTTTGATCCTTGTCCCCCCCCAAAACAACAACAACAACAACAACAACAGAATTCTAGCAACTTCCCCAGTGTCCTTGCTTTGCTTGCCCCATTTATAACAGTACAGGAAGGAGCCAGAGTGCCTGTTTACAAGCAGAGAAATTCCAGCCTCTCTCTTCAAATGACACATAAACTGTGCTGGTAAACTCAACTTTGTGATCGTGCTGATATTTGCACATGCTTATTTGCATATGTGCAAAAAGCAATACAGGAACGAAGCAGGACAGGAGAGCAATGTTGTGGGGGAAGCAGAAACGAAACTCAAACATGACAAGAACATGGAATCATAGAGTTGGAAAGGACACTGAGGGTCATCTAGTCCAACCCCTGCAATGCAGGAATCACATCTAAAGAATCCCTGACAGACGACCAACCAACCACTGTTTAAAAACTGTCCATGAAGGAGAGTCCACATGAGGGACTCTGTTCCACTGCTGAACAGCTCTTACCATCAGAAAGTTCTTCCTAAAGTTTAGTCAGAATCTCCTTTATTGCATTTAGAATCCATTGGTTCAGGTCCTACGCTCTGCAGCAGCAGAATACAAGTTTGCTCCCTCTTCTGTGGAATTATGGTCTTAGAGCATAGCTACACCACAAACTTAGTTGTTTCCTCCAACCCTCCCCCCCCCCCCAAATTCTAAGGTTTGTAGTAGCTGGTGAGGATGTGAAGAATTCTCTGTTTGAAATCCCATGCTCTTGACACAAAGTAGTTTCCAGATTTCATTGTGACGATTAAACTAGTTTTAGACAGGTGCAGCTTATGGGTGGTGCCATGGGAATTTGACCAAGGCTGCTTGCATAGGCTAACGCCCCTTCTCAAATTCTTGTGAAAAGGCCTCCCTGGAAGATGGACCTCTCAGATTTCCCCCAGTGAAGCCACTGCCAACACAGTGCCACTGTCAGCCTCTCCCCCCCCCCCCCCCGTCACCAGGAATCATGAGTGGTGCTGGCAGCGTGTTTTCATTTTACAAAGAATCAAGAGGAAAGAAGAGAGGACTGTTTCATCTTGGATGGGAACTGTCTCTGCTGCCTGCTATTCTTTTCTGACTCCCATTGTGAACTTTCCCACTTGGGAATAGGTAGAGGGGGAAAGTTCGCTCTGGACAAAAGAAATAAATTGGCTCCTTTTAGCTTTCTTTCAAATGCCGGCACACAGGCCCTTGAGGATTTCTGAGCATTCAGGTGGAACACTGGATGACCCCTGGTCTGCTCGCTCACCTCTGATGCAGCTCTGCCCTTCTGAATTAACCTGGTGAAACATGTTAAAATTGGTGTTCTGGGCTGAAGCTTATTAAAAGTCACAGAAGTTTAAATATCTAATATAATAAAGCACAGTGACCCATTTAGATGAATCAGAGTCTTCTTCAGTTCAAGTATTCCTACAGAGGGGTGGGTTGTGGGGGGAAGAGAGGGAAGAAAGAGAATGTGAATACACACCAACCCTGCACATCTGGTCTTTGTTTTAAAGGTGAAACAACTGTTTACTGATGGGCGCAGGATTACTAAATATCCAAACGGGACAAAAATGGAGATTAGCACAGATAAAAGAACAACTGTTGTTACTTTTTACAATGGAGATATTAAGAAGATCTTGCCAGATCAGAGAGTGGTGTGTATATTTATTTTATTTTGCTTTGAAGGAGGACTTTAAACTGTGATTACAAAGATGGCCCTCAGTTCTAAATGTCTTAATTTCCAAGAAGGGGGAAATAAATATTTAGCTGAGCTCTGACCTGAGCTTAAACAATCTTTTATAAGCAAGTTAGCAAGTCTCCACATTTGTTGTGCTGAAAGAAATCTGTGCCAGAGCATCTCAATGGTTGAATTCTGTGATGTATAAATTATGCAAATGCTTACTTTGCAAATCCTTACTTTGCATAATTTATTTCACTTCTGCCAGTCTTGGGAAGAGTCGTTCACGGCACTGAATCTCTTCCTTCTGGAAATCCTGTACAGCAGTTCCACCCTCCTGGCTTCTGAGAGTGCTTAACTGTTTAAAAACAGTAACAAAATCACTGTGGTGGCACCCATACCCCCCCCCCCGAGCAGTTTTCCACCTCAAAATAAGTCAACAAACTTTTGAAGGTGTTAATGTATATACTTTAAGCAATACAAAGCTAGACGACTCACCAGAGATGAGAGGGAGGGGCAAAAGTGAAGATTAAATCAGCATCGGACATGGAACTATGATCTATTCCACACAACCAGTTTATTGAGCATTCATCTTGATTTATTTGCAGAATGTTTGTGGGGAGGTTAGATGATGTCAGCTGTTCACTGAACATTCATTCTGATTTGTTTGTGAATTTGCATCGACAATTGTTATTCCACACTTTCCAATGCATTTTCCTATTGTTTTCCTTATTTATTATTATGCAGATTTATTATTATGCAGAGACACAAACAACCAGAACCGTTTTCCCAAATGGATTGGAAGTGCTGCAGTTTCCTAATAATCAGATTGGTAATGTCAATTTACTATTACTTTAAAACTGATTTTAAAGGCAATGTTTACCAAACAGATATGCATAGCAGATAATAAATTTTCTACCTTTTTTGTCTTTAAGGGTGATCAATTTTAAAATGATGTCAGAACTTATATATAATAAATAAATGAATTCATATTGCATATTGTTCAGAAATTCAGTTTGCACACTGAGGTGGGACCCAACAGGCCTGTGCAAAAAACCCCTGCTGAGTTGTGAAGCATCCTGAGTGGCAAATTTCAGGTTGCTTCAGACATGCCAGATACCTGCATTTGAGGCACATCCACATAAGAAATAACATGCAATCTGTGTGTAGGTCATTACATGCAGTGTGTGTATGCACGTGTGTCAATGTATCAGGCATGGTGTACCCACACTGGGAAGGTAAGCTCACACATGTTTCAAATGAGACTTTTTAACAATGTCCTGTTCCACAGAAAAGTACCACCCCGACGGTACTGAAGAAATCGTGTTTCCAGACCAGACTGTGAAACGCCGCTATGATGGAGGTATGGTGGAAGAAACTGTTTTCCCAGACGGTACAGTTGTGAAAGTGGAAAAGTAAGTAATAAAGTACTCAGGAACTGGAAAGGGGGTACCATTCAATAGAAGTGCTATTTCAGCACTGTCTCAACACTCTGCTGTTCACATTGGATAATTTTGTAGAGCTCTGCAAGGCAAAATTGTTGCAGGGGATTGTACTTTGCTAGGATTCTGTCCTCCCATTTACATAAATACAAGCAGAACCAAAGGCTTTTTAAAAAACAAGGATAACCACTGTCAGTTACATAATCAACACGGCCTCTGTGTTTTGTGCATTCATTTCCCTCTGACTTTATTGCTTAAAAAATCTGGATACACTTTGTGTATCCAATGAATTGTGGTCCACGATTGTTTGTGCTGTAATACATGTCTTCGTCTTTAAGGTGCCCCAAGACTCTCTTTTTTGTTTTGCTGCAGTGGAATAGCATGGTTACCCTTTTGAGAATTACAATCAAAGTTGAGGTTGAATGCAACAGGGAATGTTTGTCATAATCTTAAAAAGAAACATTTGTATTTGGTATCCCCATAACTATGTCCCCCACTGGGGCCAGGGAACATGGAGCCAGGGCTAACCCAAATGGGCCCTATCAATGGAATCCATTAGTCTGTCTGCCCCGACTCCTTGTGTTGATTGTCAGTGCTGAGGTACAAAGGATATTAACATATTTGATCTCAGAATTTGCAATGTCACATTACAAGGAAACTTTTGGGCAGCAAAATCATATTGGCCCCTTTGCCAGAAACCAATAAAGCCAGGCAGTTGTCTGCCCTGGGCCTCATTACAATAAGACATGTTACTCCAAACTATAAATTGCTCTAGATCTGCAGGTTTATAGGGCACAAGCCTTGTGCTGTTGTGTGTTTCCCCCTGCCCTAAGCATCCAACTCTAGCCATTCCCAGAGACAGCATACTACGCTTGATGGGCAACTCGGCTGACTTGCTAGGTTTGTTCTTATGTGTAAAATGTAAGGTCTGTTGGCATGAACAGGGTTCCCATGGGTATACATGCTCTGAGGTGGGCTGTTTTATTTTATTGCTTTACAGAAGTGGAGTTAAAACCATCCAGTTCCATAACGGGCAAAAGGAGATTCATATGGCACAGTCTACGAGAAGGGAATACCCTGATGGGACTGTCAAGACTGTCTATGCAAATGGCCAGCAGGAAACCAAGTATTCTTCAGGACGGGTTCGAATCAAAGATGGGAAGGAGATCGTCATCCTGGATAAGGAGTAACTTGTGCTCTCTGGATGGTGGTCTTAGCATTTCATTATGTTCTCTTATGTCGTGTTTCATGATGCTATGTTATAGTTTATTTTTTATCTCATCTTTTGGCCAGAAAGGTCTCTGAAGTGTCTCACAAAAATACAAATACAGTTGTACCTTGGTTCTCGAATGCCTTGGTACTCGAATGTTTTGGGTCCCGGACGCCACAAACCCGGAAGTTAGTGTTCCAGTTTGTGAACTTTTTTGGAAGCCGAACATCCGACATGGCTTCCAATTAAGTGCAGGAAGCTCCAATGAAGTGCAGGCTTCCAATTAAGTGCAGGAAGTTAAAATGGGTGCCTCAGTTTTGAGAAACTACAGTGCTAAATTTCCATTGCCTCAGGTTTGATGGAAAAGGAAGGGAGAACTGGGTATCATTGGCATATTGATTGGACTGCACTCAGACGCTACAGATGATCCCACAGTTTCATGGAGATGCACGGGGATGGGATAAGATGGAACCCTGTGAGATGCCGTGTGTCAAAGGCCAATGAGTGTAATGTTTAATTCCCCAGCAATATCTTCTGGGGTCTACCATTTAGGGAGGACCAACGCCAGTACAAAACTCTGCCACTCGGCCCTAATGCGGTAGGGTGGTTCAGAATGATATCATAAGCTGCTGAACTAATGAACTTGTATTGTACTTTTGTGTGTGTGCTTAATTTGGTGTGCATTGCTGTAATATTTTATTATGATCTGGCAGTTTGTATAAATAAACAAACAAAATCAATCTACCAAGGCCACCAAAAAACAGTTTCTGTCCCAGATGTAAGCCATAATCCTAACTGAAATGAGTCTATACAATTTGTCTCATCCAGAACCACCTGGAGTTGAAGTCACCACCTTGCCCCCCCCCAAAAAAGGGACACTAACTATTGGTTGTTCAGGTCAGAGGGATCCATAGCGGTGGTGGGTTTTCAACAGTAGTCTCATACAGCCTCCTAGGGGAAGCCCTGACTGTTAAAGTGGTGTAGCCATTGCTCTATGGTGCAGATGGGTCCTCATAGTGGCATCCTTCCTCCAACTTTTGTGGGAATCTTATAGATTGTGGCATAACGTGTGCCAACATAGCTGCAGCACATGCACCCTCTGGTGTGAATGACATACAGGATTGCTCGTCCCGCTCATCTACTGGTTAAATAAGCTTTTATTTGATTTCTGGTGTTCTGGCTGCAATTCTTTGCTCATTAATTTGTGTATTTCTTTTATTACACTTTTGACATGGATCCCTTCCCTAGATGCTTCAAGGACTGCATCACTGAAAGGAAATATAAGGACAAAGTCACCCACCCGAGGAAATGGCTTTTTGTCTTTATCTGAGAGAAAAAAGTGAGGGACAGATGGCTTGTGGGTACAGAGCTCAGTTGAATTAAGCCACCGGGTAGACTGAACAGGCTCATATAGGGAACTACTAGTTCTAAATAACTGTTTGCTTTTAGATGGCAGCAGGGATGTTTTGGGCGTGTTCATTCGTTCACGCAGTTGTGAGGTTAAGGTTTTCTTGGGGTATGCGCTGCCTGCCCTGCCAGACATTGGGCTCCTCTTATTAACCTGCAAGAGTGATGGGGATGGGGAAGTAACTGCGGACTTGGTTTCTTTCCCACAAGCCAGGAAATCTAGAGAGATGTCAGTTTTGGTAGTCAACAAAGACTGTGTTCGGCCAAAGGACGACACTTTCCGGATCACCCCTTTGCTTGTTCTCAGCGCGTCGGCCTCCTTGTAGTTCAGCAAGTCGACGATGTCATGGAGCAACCTTCTTTTCACAGCTGCATCTGTGGCACAGTCGAGGTGCAGACCCGGGCTGTGGTTCACTTCCAGGAGCCAGGGCTTCATCTTGTCATCCACGAGAATGTCAAACCCAAAGAGCTCAAAGCAGTTAGAGGTAAACGGCACCGAGGGGGTGATGGCAAGCAAGGTAAGGGTGATGATGTGGTTGATCCTTTGCCAGAGGCGCACGTCGTTCACATGGCGGCTACGTAGGTAGGCCCGGAAACGGCTGAACGTCCACTTGCAGCCGGAGCCGATGACGTCTTTGTCCTTCCTGTACGAGGGCCCAAACTTATTGATGCTTGTGTTTGTCAAGTGGGCGTAAACATTGTCCAGGGCCTCGAGGTCAAACTTCTCCGTCGCAAACCTCACCAGCCCTTCTTCATACACATAAACAGTGAGGGGGCAAAAGCTAGCGACGCAGACGTAAAAGCGGAGGTCCCACTTGTACCCAGAAATAAGCAAGGGGTTGCTGATGTACTTCTGCACAATCACCATGCAGTCATAAACAAAGTCTTTAATGTCCTTGAAAATGAGGATGCCCCTCCCACGAGACCTGGCGACAGGCTTGCAGATCCAGTAGCTCAGCTTCCTGCCGGGGATTTGCCTCTCCTTGGTGTATTCTGTTATAAATTTAATGTAGTCGTTGGGCATGATGAAGGCTGCTGGACTGAACTCGTAGAGGGTTGTTCCGTAGATTCCCTTCATGCGCTTCAAATGTCTTGCCAAATAGTCCTTCCTGGTGATCCGGACGGTTTCTGGATGGTGATTGAGCCTCTGCCATGGTTTAATGCTTTGGTGGTCTGTCATCCGGAAAGGCTGGTTCTGCCAGCACAGGTTCCAGTCCTCGTTATCTTGCTTGTGCTCATCATACTCGATCCAGCCACGCTCCAGTAGAACCTCACGGACTAATTCAGGAACGCTGTCATCTAGCCGGAAGACTAGTGGCTTGATCGAGCCTCCTGAATCAACCCCTTTTGCTGTGGTGGAGCTTTGATTTTCTGGAAAATCGGTGTTTTCTGTGGGGGAAGCAAACAATTGACTCTACCGGTTTGGGTAATTTAATAGCAACAGGAATGCGTTCCTTTGATTGGAACCTGAGTTGCCCCGTGCATATAGTTATATGCAGGGTACAAACACATTGATTGATGCATGGTAATAAAACATGACATGCATTTTCAGCTTGTGAGTCCAGTGACTTTCACTGATGTTCATAGATCTGATCCCCAGAGAAGAGTCATGAGTAACAGGGACCTCTAGCATGTGTTCTCCAACCCTGGGTTCCTTAAGGTGGTTGTGCGTCCTACTGTACACAGGGAAGTCTTCTATTTGTAGGGCTGCCTGGCCCAAGGTCAGTTTAAAGATAACCCTAAGAAAGGAGAGCAGAGTTTGACGATGCCTATCAACAGTTAACTACTAGACAACAAATTAAGCTGACACTTGGGTCCCTGGGTTTCAGTCTTTCCCATCATGAGGAAATGGCTGCATTGTAGTTCTGCTGAGATTCTAGCAATTATTTCTAAATTTGTATAAACACATATAAATTATGTGTCTAGAAATTTCATGCAGATCTTCCCCATCTCTTGTATTCTCCTTGAGTGACAAGCTTCTTTCTTGGTTGTGATGTGTGTGACCACCTTAGCATGGTGGGTTATTGGGTTGGCCAAGCTTGATGTGATGTCACTAATGCCATGATTACTTAAAAAAAATGATGTCAGAGCGCATGTAAGCCAGATTGGGGCTGTGGCAGAAACGATCCAAATCATGGGACTCCATACCTGCTGTTTACAATGAGAGGGAAGCTCCCATTTATTTTTTGCTTGATTGTAAACAGCAAGTATGTGGTGGGGAGCAGGGAGAGGTTCTGATTTGAACTATGTCAGGTGTTTAAGCCAGCACAAGGGAAAGTACAATATTATTCATATTCAGGTCCCAAGAGAAATTAAGTTGTTTTGTAGGCTTTGCATTAGGAAGCCAAACAGGCTTCAGTGATGAATATAATTTTATACCAGCTTGGGAAAACTCAGGCAGCTGAGTTTATGGAAGGTTTAAAGAGAATTTTTCAAAAAACCAAATACCTTTTCTCGGGCTCCTCAATCCCACCAGCTGTTCAGTACTGTGAATATGCAAGAGTAAATGAGAAACTGTCAAATAAAAGTGTATTACATACCAGCATACATCTCCATCTCAAATGCTTCCATTTGTATTAGTCCCCATGTTGTCCCTTGTCTCTTTTACCTATCCTGTGTTGTTTTCTTGACTCTCCCCATCTAAATTTAGATCGTAAGTTATTTGGGGCAAGTACCGTACTTTTATTTTGGTTCTATGTATGCTACCAGCTGCGGTGATGGCACCATATAAAATTAAATAATATTTATGAATCAGAGCTGGAAGCTCTTTTCCTATTTCAGTGGCAGTCCTTAGCTATTCTGTCGTCTTGTACTGTTATGATTCCCCTTCCCTGTTATATATCTGTAATACAGAAGATCCCTTATCCCTGAATACCCACATTTACTTCAAAAAGAAAATGTGCAAACCTTAGTTCTCTTGTAGCTGTGCAAATCTGTTCTTCTTTTTCAGAGTTGTGGCTCGCCTTTTGCCATAGTGGCATTGTTACCATCTCATGCTGGGTTGGAGAATCCATTTTTCTTCCTTTCTGGAATCCCAGCTTTCGAAGCGAAACTGATAATAATGTATATTTCTCAAGTTCTAAATCACCATAGAAACTTCACTGTGCCAGCATGTCACACACTTCAGCATTCTGTTTCCTTGTTCCCTCCCGCCCTTTCTGTAGAATATTCAGGGACACCCTCATCTCACATATTGTTCTGCTACCCAGTCACTCACAGCTAGAACAGCTTTTCAGATTGTGCCAGCTTAGCCTAGTGGTTACTTCAAATCTATCTTTGCAGAATCCCCACAATTCACTTTTATTGAAATGGGCTTCCAGGAGGAAAACTCTCAGTGGATTTCCCTCTGCATTAAACTCTTGCATTTGATAAAGACATTACTTCCCAAGCCATGGGTGGTAATCAAATTACTCAGAGTAGACCCATTGGGAATTAATGGACCTAACTCAGTCATGCCCATTAATTCCAGTTGGCCTACACGGACTAAAAATCGCTGAATATCACCCTGTATGTTATATTTTGATATTTTTTTCATGTTAACTTTTTAAAAATTAGATTGTAACCTTTATATTAAACGTATCAGCTTTTAGGCCAGGCCACAGATTTAAAAGAACGTTGATTTACTTACGGAGCAGCCCTATAATATTTACTTAGACATAAATCCCACCATGTAGTGGTGCTTACTTCAATATAAGTGTGCAAGAGATTGCATCCTTACAGCAAGGCCAGTCCAAGAGAGAACAGCAATGTGCATAGCGTTGTAAGTATCTATGGCTGGCTAAGTTATTTTGACGCTTGAGGCAGAGAATCCCACCTATGTCTTTCCCTGACTGGGAGCAGGAATGCTATAACCATAAATTAAGTACTAACAATTTGTTTCCCTTTATGGCACTTAAGAATAATCCTGTTGATATGTAGCAACATCATAATCACGATCCCATTAGTAAAATGGGTATCCTACATTTGGACACATGCCCAGTCGCTGATCCCAGAGCATTCACATTGCTTTTCATACCATACCTCAGAAATTCTTACAACACGACTCCAAGGTAGGGCAGTGTACCTCTCTTACATCCTAATCTGGGGTTGGGACTGGGGCCCTAACCACTTGAACAAGTGCCCCGTCTGTGCAACTGAATTTGCTCTCCTGTTCCCACCAGTACCCCCCAATTTCAAAATCAGCTCTGGAGGGTTGGGGGATCCCACAGCAGAGTTTGGGGGGTGCGTGAAGGGAGAAGGAGAAACAGAAGTCCTGTTGCACCACTGGAACCCCACTCCCATTGGATACAACCCAGAGTGTGCGGCTTGCCTGTGGCCCAATTCATTCATTCATGGTCACATAGTTAACATTAATTGCTGTTACTTTTTTATTGCAAGAATATCCACATACCTTTCCCCTTGGGAACACCTGCACTGGGGCAATGGCACTCCTCTCCTTCAGCATAAAAATTATCCCCAGAGTCATCAGTGCAACACATTTAGCTCCACTGCTGAGGGCATCAGTTAAGGGTTTTTTCTTTCAGTCTCTTTTTGAGACCCGAAGAGGAATTTGTGGGCTGCCTGAATCGTCACCTGTTTCCTGCTTTCACCTGGATGGCCAGCCAGCCAGGAGGGTTAAAGCTTGGTTGCTTAGCAATGCAAAACAGATCCTGGGAACAAAAGCGAATGTTCTCATGGTCACAGGAGCTTTTTCCACTTCCCCCTTCCTTGAACTCTAGGCCTCTTCTCAAACTGAGCCAGCTTTTTCACAGGCCCTGCTGCTATGCTCTTATTAATATTATTATTTACTTGCCTTCACTCTAATTATTTATTATGGACCTACCTTCATGCTAAGG